CTCTCCATGTAGCGCGAATGTGGGTTAGTTCAATCAAAAAGTCCTCCGCGAAGGCTAATTTCTCCCAATACTTGATCCAGAAGTTACCTTGTCTTCTGGATTTGGTTCATAATTGCAAGGCTATGGAGTTGAACATTAGTAGTCGTAAACCACCCCAAAAATTGTGTCGATACAATTGATTGTTTTTTTTTTCATTTGAAAATAAAAATTTAGTCAAAAGGGAAAAAATCAAGCTGGATGAAATTTGAGGAAATTTCAGTGCATTCTAAAGATTTAAAAATGCCGTATTGTTTTCCTTTAGACAGAAAACAGGATTTTACTTTCTCCGCAAAAATTGTATGAAAGAAACATATAATGAGACTGAACTAAACATAATTTAATTTTACTACTGTAACTAAACATTATTTAATCAGCCACGCTTTATAGATATAAGCAGTAATATAGTAATTACGTTTTAATAACCTACTACTCGAATTAATTTAAATGTATTCAAATTTAGGAAAATTCTGAAGTGGAAAAGATGTTTTTTTTAATCATTGATAGCTACTTTATTAACATTATTTTGATCATTAATAACTTTATTGTTAATATAATTTTCATTGATAGCTAAATTATTAATATTATATTCATGATTGATAATATAATATTAACTGTTTTCTTGTTATTAATATGACTGTTTTACCCATTGATAACTACATTATTAAGAAGAGCGGAAAAAATCAGTTCAATAAATGATATACTTTAATATCGTAGAAAATTGGGATAGTTAATAAATTAACAAACTTTAATGATAATAACAATATAAATAAATTATTCAAATCAAATTCGTTGACTACACATTTTTTCTGCGACTTCTTAAGAATAAATTGAAACAAAGCGAATCTACGATCTTTTTAATAAAGAATATTTCTAATTGCCCCATTAAAAATAATTATATACTTCCGCTGTTACAACTTATTGGCGAAAAAAAAAAGAAATTTCTTTTCAACACTCGTGAATCAATGATAAGTTCAAACATTCTCCTTTTTTTTTTTCGTATTGCCATACAATGCAAATCGCACAGAATAATAATTAGAAATGAGGAAGTGTAACGACATGAAAGTACGTGACGAGATTGCAAAGGTCGACAGCGAGCAAGGTTTAATTCTGTTGCATTCAACAATGAAACTTTCAGCGTAAATCAGTAAAAAGTAATGTATGTATAAGCACACTTCAATGTTATACAATTTACTAAATTTATTTATTTCCGTATTATACAAATGAGTGGAAATATTCAAGCACAATGAAACTAGTCGTAACCGTTATTTTTTAACTGACTCTATACCGTCATATAATTTATGGGTCATAAAAGAAGATATTAGGTCTTACCTTACATACCTTTTTAATATTATTTTTTTATTTAAATACCAATCGGTATAGTATTTAGACATATTTTCACTGTTTCCCGTAAAATTTGAAAAATACGTTGTCCATTTTTGAGGCAGCAAATTAAGACATAAGTATAAATTTAACAGACTTGAGATTTCCCTCTCTTTATTTATCACTCATTCTCTATTCAATCTATTTATCTCCATATCCATCAATCACTCCCTGTAAAAGATATTGCCATAGTAACCGGGCAAAATGATTAGGTATAAACTTTATCCCTGTGTAATCTGTGTAATCTAGTCCGTACATACTATAAAATATTTTGCGACCTTAGAATAAAATATTTTTTAATTTTGATGTAAGTATCTGTTTATTGTTACGACAAAAAAGGTGATTACGTAGAAATTGTGAGGGTTGGTGAACAAAGCGAACTGGGGCAGAGTCCCATTAGTGATTAAATAGTTCACAAGTGCCAGTGTCACATCTGAATCTAAATGAAAATGGCACTTCTGTGTTTAATAGAATTAAATAATAATTTAGGTTAGAACAATTACATGACTTCATTGAGCATAGTAAGCATTGAGACACGAAATATTTTTTTTGATGAATTTAATTTTTATTTACTTATTTTTGCTTCTAATTTTATTTTATAGAGAATACTTCCATTGATATAGTTTATTATACATGCGCCACGTTCTAATAATTTATGTTCAGAAATTTGCATTCTTTTTTCAATTTAAAAATTAAAAGGTGCTGTAACTTTTATCTGTAAACCGTTGACTCTATAACTATATTTACCAGTATCATTCATTTATCATGCAATGAAAATGAGGAAAACGCAATAATTATTCAAGATATTGCAAACCGATATTAAGAGTTAACTTTTCGCTTCATTTCTGAAACAATTCTTAATAATTTCTAAATATTTACTAGTTTTTATAATAAAAAGAAACAAAATACAAATTTAAAATACGTGGTTAAAACTGATATGGCGACTGAACGAAATAAGTTTTAAACTTTATTCTGGAAATAAATCTAGAGAACCTAATTAACGTTAATGCAAAAAAAAAATTTGGATCTCCTAATTTAATAATTTTTAAATTTTTATGTGAAGATCTGCTTGACGTCAATAATTACATTTGTGATTACAAAGCATTCCTGGTTGTTGATGAGTAAAAAAAGGGGATCTTACAATATAAAATGAGAAAAATGAAGTTATTTTGGAATATAAAAGTAACTTACTATCCGTTCCAGCAATAAATTTTGCAACTTTCTGCACATTCCGATCTCTCCACAACACACTCCCCACAAAGCCATCGGCAAATGTCAGCAACAGTAAGTCTACATAATATTGTAAGTAATGTGCCGAAGATCAAAAATACTATGTGCATAACAGATTTCGTCATCGTAAATTTGTTTTAAAAAATGAAACTTCATCGACGATTTTTTTTTCGGTTAGGAGTCCGCAAAAAGACTTAAATATGAAAAAGATTGATCTATTTTTTGCAAGNGTTCTCTAGCTTGGTGTGAGAAGACTGGAATGTTCTATGATGGAGCGCGAAGTTTCATTGATTATGTGATTAATTACTATTATTTTCTATATACTTCATGTTTGTTCCGTGGCATAAGTATGCATCTAAATAAAATCGTTTATGCCAAGAAAGGTTTATGGTGAAATCATTTCACATTGAAAAATCTGAAAAAGAACCTGCGAAATATTACTGAAGCTGTCTTAAAAATAAGGGTTATCCTACTAAGTATTGATTGTGCAAGTATCACTTCAAAAAAATGCAAATCTAGAATAGATCTTACTATTAGTTGCATAACTTTTTTTGTAATACAGATATTGTAATACTGCATTTATTATTAGATTTTACATTAAATTACCATTAACTTGATATATAAACGTTTGTATTTAAGTGAATATATATATATATATATATATACATACAGAAAAATTTGTGTAGTTTTCTGTATATCTTTATCCTTGCTTGTTACCTTGAAAAAATTCCCCTCATTTCAATAAATGTGAATATATTTAGACATTGCAATTTTCATTAATGATATTATAATAGTTTTCACTTCCTAGAAGATTCCATGCACTTAATCTGAATTTCATTATCCTACGAAACATACATTCGGCCTTCACCGATTTGAAAGGACATTGTTAGTAATTTTAGCTTCAAATGGTTGAGAACTGTCATTAGAATCGCAGACAATGTTTCTTCTAAATGAATATACCTTAAAGTAAACTATTATTTTTATTATACTCCTCGTGCTTTTTGCCCGCAGCAATAGTTTTGGTGGAAAGTCAAATAGGCCTTGACCACAATTGCTAGCCAGACTTAATTCTTTCGATAAATAAATACAATTTATATCGGTCCGAATGGAAATAATGATTATCATTGACTTGAACACGCGTGCTAAAAAATAAGTAATCCTCTTTTTTAGATATAAAAAGAAGTGTTATTAACTAAATTATTAATTAATTTATTAATTAATATTGCAACCTTAGTAAATAGATTGAACCTTAATGAGGTGCAAATTTCCTAAAACCATAATATAAAAACCATATAAAGTATTAAACTGTATCATGTTTCCATTCAAGTGCATAATATTTTGAAATCAAGTTTAATATGTTTGTAAACTTGCACGATATTGTGAGTCAACGCCGGTTCACAATTTTTAACTGTGCATTCCAACTTTCTCAGAAGCATCGGTACAGCATTGGACCGTGATATCGGTACCTTGAACCATAATACGACTCTAACATTTAGAAACCATTATAAGGCATTCAACTGAACCATATTTTCGTTTAAGCTTAACCATAGTATAGAGTAAAAGATTAAGAAGTACAATAGCATATTTAGCCCACTCTTAAGATTGCAGTTAATTTTCCCGATAATATAGTTCAACACGCTCCTAATTTCTAACAATAACCATTAACATTGATAACAAACAGGGAATAATGACTTCATTAATATTCCTTACTAAATTCCGCATTTTTTTCTGTTTTCAAATTTCTGGTTTTATTCAAATTTCTAGTAGAAACCATTATAAGGCATTCAACTGAACCATATTTTCGTTTAAGCTTAACCATAGTACAGAGTAAAAGATTAAGAAGTACAACAACATATTTAGCCCACTATTAAGATTGCAGTTAATTTTTCCGATAATATAGTTCAACACGCTCCAAATTTCTAACAATAGCCATTAACAGGGATAACAAACAGGGAATAATGACTTCATTAATATTCCTTACAAAATTCCACTTTTTTCTGTTTTCTAGTTTTATCTATTTCAATCTTATTTCGAGTGATGAAGCATGTTTAAAATGACGTAAGTATGGAAGTATTGTATATTAAACCTTTAATGAAAAACGATGAAATCGCAAAAACGCTAATTTCAGCGGCTATTATAAAACTTCTTTTAACAAAGTTGAACGAGAAATTTAAAATTAGGCTATGATCTAAAATTAAGACCTAGTAAAAAAAAACCTTTCGCAATGTAACCGAAAGTAACAAAATAAAATAATAATGATGAATGAATAAACAGTAATTAAGAGTTCTTTAAGCGCGAAGGCTGCTGTAGCGTAACCGGTATTCTCAACTTTTCTTTACCTTACTGAATCAACATTCAATCAAATATACCCAAGCTATAAACATCGTGATATTTTGTATATCTTTTATTTCGCAATGGATTTCACCGTCGCTATTGTTGGAGCTGGTTTAAGTGGTGAGTGCCTTACATCTATCAATTTCAAATTTGTGGATAAAAAACTATAATTAATGAATTTTAGACAAAAATATAAAACGCTTTTCTTGTTGGTTAGATTTATTTCCAATAAAAATAAAAATCAAATGTTACCTTAGAATTTTCAGAGTTAAATTTAATTCATTTTTCCTATTTTCTTCATTTTTCTTTTTTTCATTGAATAAAACTTTTTAAAAAATATGTGACTTATCACTTCTAAATTCTTGGGCCCAAAAGACTATTTTTATTTAGTTTTATTTTATTTATATTATTACAGTTGCATATTATAGTTATAGTTATATATTATATTATAATAGTTATAGTTATGTATTATATTATAATAGTTATAGTTTTATTTTATTTATTTTATTTATTATAGTTTTCTTTAGTTTCTAAATTAGATTTTCATTACCTTTACATGATTTACGTACTTATTATCCCATTACAGGAGTTGGACAAAATAATGGAAACAATTCTTTACTTACTTATTTCTTCCTATTCCTCAATAAATACTTAGAGAATTATTTTAAAACTTTAGAAGTGTTTAAATCATGCGATTTCACATACATGTCAATAAAGTTTAAAGCTTTTAGAGTCTTGAGGGACCATCAATAAATTACGAGCAAATGTTTTTGAACACCCTTTGCCATTAAATACAGAGATAAACTTGTAACTGATGTCAATTATTTTGGTTATCACATGAAATAATTGCACAAAATTTCGTAAACCTAGCGTAAATATTCATGGAGATATTGGAGATTTTTATAAAATCTAATTTTTTGACCTACGCTTTCTTACTATAACTTCTGAAATATTCAATAAAATTATACAAAATTTTTTGAGTCGTATTTGGTAAATTATAAAAAAAATCCAATTTAAATATTTGAAAAATTTAAAAAAATTCTAGGTAATTTCTAAGAAACTTTTTTATTAGAAGCTCTAAATAATAAGGTTGTTTTTCCCAAATTTCATTTTGTATCATAAAACAAATTTTCATAACAAAAAGTACCTTAAAATTATGGTCCGAATACTGTGATAGTATTCGAAAATACAAAGCTATTTTCAACTAACTTTTTCAAATTTCATTATGATATATTTTTTTATAAATCTTGTCAATCTGATGCAAAATTAAATGTGTAAAAAAACCCTTGCCATTCAAAGCTTTTTTTTTTCAAAATGAACAAAAATTACTTTGAAAAACGCTAGAAAACTTTTTAAATTTTCCGGATGCTTAAACCAGATTTTTTCAATAAGTTATCAAATACAATTAAAAACAAAATTAAGAAGAAAAAAAATTTAAAATGTTTTTTTGTGTGAACTTATGAAATTACAACTTTAACCCCTTAACGCACAGATTTTTTGAAAAAAAACCAGACAAAGAAAATCAATTTTTTTTAATGTACAAGAACACACTTTAGAATAAGGTTTCCATTTGTTGCCGCTTCTGGTTCAACTTTTCTTTTGGGGGAAAATTTTGATATACTGCGTTTTTGCTCCATGGAAAAAGGCTATATTTTATTCTTGAATGAATAAGTGTTATAGCTTACTGTCCTATGTTAATGATAAATATCAATAAAACGTTTTTTTTTCTTAGCTTTCGCATCATTTTCAATTATCGATTATATTCGAGTGTGAAAAATTATAGCAGCATGAAATACAACGCCGCTCGAATTATCTCGAGTGTGCACAGTTTGGCCTGTTCAGCGCGCTCGAGCGCACAAGTTAAGGGGTTAAATACTCATATCTTGTGCAATTTTTAACGAACTTTTTAAAATTTAAAATGATATTTGTATTATTAATTCAAAAATTACTATAAAATTTTGTTTAATTTTATTAAATATTTCTGCAGTCATAGTACTCAAGGTAAATAAAAAAAACTGGGTTTTTTTTAATAAATTTTTTTCTCCATGAATATTTAAACTAGGTTTACAAAATGTTGTGCAGTTATTTCATAGGATAACGAAAATAATTTACATAAATTACAAGCTGTTTTTAATGGCATAGGGTGTTCAAAAACATTCATTCGTAAATTATTACCGGTCCCTCAAACCTGTAAAAGCTTTAAAGTTTATTGATATGAATGCGATATCGCATGCCTTAACCACTTTTAAAGTTTTAAAGTAATTCTCTAATCATTTACTGAGAAATATGAAAAAATTAATAAGTACAGGCGTGTTTCCATTATTTTGCCCAACACCTGTATCTTAGTCCACGTTATAATATAGTGAAATAAGGTTATTAAATATTAAGATGTTATTGGTTGAGTGTGTATTAAAACTAGGTTTACGGGACGCGTCATTTTGACGCATTTCGAGTTTTGTAAGGAAAATTATAAAACCCGTTTGAGTTTTTATTTTATCTCTTGAAATGACTTTTAACCATTGATCGAAGTAAATATATATTGAAGTAAAGCGTTGAAATATTGAAATTTTCTTTGTGTTATACCTATCTCTATGAATATGCGTCAATTTGACGCGATCGTAATTTAGACAAAATTTTGAGTAAACTTGCAAATATCACATCAATAATAAATAGGAATGTACCGACAACGTTATCCGATATCGTTATCTCAAATGAAACAAGCAATTAACAACTGCTGCCAATAAGATATAATAGAAAGAACAAACGCAGAATGTCAATTGATGCCAGAGTGACAAATTTTGAAGGTTTCAGTTGCTTAGTTCGAGTATTGAAAAATAAAATACTAGAATATTTCTTAAATATATATTTCATACTTTCATTATTTTTCTTATAGTATATACGTATTTACATTGCTTTCTAAGTGCAAATATGCCAACTGCTCCGGACACGCCAAATTAAAAAAACGGTAAATAACTACCAAGTAAATTTTTCAAATATAAAGTGTTGAATTATGTAAATCCACGAATTATTTAGAAATAGTGGTGGATAAAAATCTACTAAATTAAATTTATTAAATTAAGAATCACAATTATATGTATTCGTTCATGAGTCAAATTGCCGTGTGTTCGAAGAGATAGGTATATAAGAAACGTCCGTAAACCTAGTGTTAAGATTAGTACCTCAAATAACTTCAAAACAAAGCATGTAAAAAAATTTTCGTATACCATAAAAATATATTAATCATAAAACCCATTTCCATTGATCTCTGCGAATTTTTATTCGCCAAAAAGTCGCATGGTATGGTTTGTGAATTAAGCGAGAAGATTCAGATTTCTTTGTCCATCATCTGCATAAAATTAATAAAAATTATATATTATGTTTTTAAGAATTTATCTTAAGAATATTTTTTAAGAATTTATTTTAGAAGTTAGAAAGGGGTTTAAGTTTTGAATCCCATGTTACTACTTTTTTTTTGCTACATTGGAGGCAACTAAAACAAAGTCAATAGAGTTATAAGGAATTCATGCGTGAAAATTGCAGTTTTCAATTTCATTTTACTCCTCTAGACGAAAATCATTGTCTCATATGTTTTTTACGCTAAATCCAATTAAAAAAAAAGTTAAGTCAATAGAAGTGAATGCTTTGAAGTTAAAAAGGAAAAGTAATCGTAAAAAAAGTATCTGCTCAAAACTATAGTTTTGATACATAAAACCTTCATAACTTCTAAATTATTAGTTCTATCAGCTTGATATTGGTCTCATTTGATTTAACGTGATACAATACATTTCATACAAATCCTCGCTTAAGAGGAATTTTCAAATTTGAGGCATTTTTGAAACTAAAATCGTTTTAAAAATAAAATTAAAATTGATAGATGATTAACATTGATTCCTTTATATGTTTTCAAACATTTCAGTAGTCAGCATCAAGTTGAAATTTAGACTTATGGGGGTTATAAGTCATAAAACTAAGAAATACATTAACAGGTAACATACCGGATAATTTTACATAATTGAATCTTTTTACTTCCGCGTGCAATCTTTTTAGGCTTAAGACATCATGTCTCAAAAAAAAAATACTCAGTTTTTGAAAATCCAAAATTCTTCAAAACTAATGTTTCATTTCAAGATTTTTTTGAAAGATTTTTCTTCCATACATGCATGATATTAAAAAGTGGTAGTATCATTTACTGAATAATTTTAAAGATTTTTGGTAACAGACTTGTCTTCTCTTGGGCAACACAAAACAAATATGTATGTATCAAGAAATTTTAAAACAAAATTCAAAATTATTTTCAAAGTTTATTACAAAATAAATTTTATAAAATACGTGAGTGTTTTGAAGCATTTTTACGTATTGAAAATAAGTAAAATATTTTTTTTAAAAAATAAACTTTTTTGCTTTGGGCAGCTTATTTTCTAGCATCGCTCTTTGTTAAAAATGTATAAAAAATAAAAGGTTTGACAAATTCCTATAATATTACAAAATCTGATACTTAATTGTATTTTTGCAAAAAAAAACATGCATCTTAGCAAACAGGTTCTTTAAAAATAAAATAAAAAATATTCTTTTGCCATCAAAAATGCATTCTATTTGAAATCCACCCCAATGTCAAAAGCATGAATAAGTATTATAAATTTTAAAAAAACTGTATTTTTATGCATAAAAACTTTCATAACTTCTGAAACTTTTTTCCTATTTACTTTTTTCAGTTTCATTAGATTCAGCGTGAACAAAAAAACGAAGAAAATGATGCATCAGTTGTGAAAATAGTAATAAGTCACACGCGTTGAACTGGCGTAAGTCAAAATGTGTACCATTTTTAAAATAAAATTAGAATATTTCTTCCTACCTATTAGTCCTATCGACTTGGTTCGATTTTACTCCATTCAGAGAAATTTTAAAAAAATACATCGTATACCTCATACCTCACTTGTCAAAATAGCAATATTTTAAATAATCCCCTTTCAGTAATATTAAGATGGCGACTCAAGCTCATTTAGAAAGAGGGAGAAAACTTAAAGCATTTCTATAGAACAAAAACCAAAATTTTTATAAAATGCTTTCCCGCTTTCCGCTAATTACTCTAATATTTCCCAGAAAAGTATTTTTAAGTGTCTAGTGGCCGATTAATACAGCAAAAATTAGTAGTTTTAATTAAGTACGAAAGTATATATTTTTTTAATTTCTAGGGTTGAGTGCTGCGAAGTGGTTGTGCGAAAATGGCGCATCTGTTACAGTTCTAGAGGCCAACGATAGAATAGGAGGACGTTGCTTTACAAAACTGGTAAAGTTGGTTTTAGGAGAAATGGATTATATATTTCCTTAATGAATTAACATGTATATTATCAGTTAATATTTTCGTTAATTTATTGAATTATGATTAATTTACAGGATCCTAAGGTGGGATATGTTGATCTTGGCGGATCTTACATTGGCCCCACACAAGACCATATTCTTCGATTGGCAAAAGATTTGGAAGTCGAAACTTATTTAATTAAAGAAGAGGAAGATTTACTTCACTACAATTATGTAAGCGGTGAATTTATAATTCAATTTATTTGAAAACGGGTTCAGAGGCACCAATGATCTCATAACTGTAACTGATTATATATCCTGTTTGTTTTAAAGTCTCTAAAACGTACAGAAATCTTTAAGTTTAATAATAAAAATACCGCTTTTCTTTAGCCACTATTAAAACTTTTCATCTATCTTTTTGTAATATGTTGTAAACATTACAAATAAGTTTCAAATGCTACGCCATAAAAATGATAGGGGTGCCATTTATTTATTAAGAAGAAAAATATTCTATTATTTTATTACTAAAACAATATGAGAAAAATCTTGACTGCATATTATTTCACAAATTTTAGCTCAAAGTACAAACAGCTAAAATTTGTAAAGGGAAATAATATGTCTAAATGTATATCTCTGAAAAGTTCAATACATAGTTCTTGCCTCCACCGGGTTTTAAAACTCAATCTTTCTGTTGAGTTTTAGCTTATAATTATTAAAACCAAATTCGTTTTTAGACCATCAAATGAAATCAAACATATAGTTTTGACAGTTTATTTAATATAAGAATTAAAAATATGCTACAAAAGTTCTTAATCTACTTTTTTATTGCAAGCATTACTTTTAATTTACTTTGCATCGAATTCTTTTCTTGTGTAATTTCTTTTTGGCTGGATTAGGAGTTAAAAACTACCAAAGGGGAAATAAACTGAAATAAAAATTCATTAATTCTTCTAGAAAAAATATTTGCAAATTGGGAAAAATTTTAAGCAGAGCGTAATCATTTTATAAACATTTATTTAACCGTTTTTTGAAATTTCATTCATTATAAAATTTTATTTATTGTAACTATTTTCGTACATTTTATTCATTTATTTAGGGAAGGCGAATTCGATCAAAAGATGATAACTTCAAACATAAAAATCCTTTCGCTGATATGGAAATAAAGTATATTATTAGACTTATGGATAAACTGAGTAAGGAGGTAAGTTTCTAAAAAAAAAATTTTTTCCAGAAGTATTTTTCTGGAAAAAAAAACTCTAAATATAAGAATAGGAGAACACCCTTAACATTATCGATCTATTGTTAATCAACATTTTAGCTCTATTTAGCTATAAAATATCCCTCAGTAGATTGATAGTAAGACATCAATGACAGCGGTCAGTGAGGGAGTGGAAAACCACTTTAATCACCCTGAGAAGGGACCGAGGGTGAGCATTATCTGTCTTCGTTAAACTGTTTTTTCCATAAAGTGCTCAACTTGGCACACAAATCATCTGACTGCCTAAGTGGACGAGCCATCCCCTTTGCAGAGGATCAAAGTTTTGATGGCATGTCCTCAGACCATACTCAGGGATGCTTCCCAGATCGTCACCAATAGCTCATTGAGCAACTCTAGTGCAACGTAAATAAATTATTACTTCTTATATAAGTAATCCCAGAATTCGAAATTCTGTTTTCTAGACACCTACTAGATAGAGGATTAATAACACAAAAAGTTTGGCCTGAAGTTGAAGCGGAAAATCAAAATAATTTTTAAATACACATATTTTTATTTTGAACATTTTCAACGTTTAAAATATGGTAAAACATTCCCAACTATTCCTTCTTATACTATTAAAAGTAATTTATTATTGTCCTTGAGCGCAGCTCTGCAGAATGAGAAAAGTTTCGTTCTCGAGAGTTCTCGAGAAAAGTTTCCTAAAATAAATAATTAATTTTATTTTTTTATTTTATATCAGTCGTTGAACAGCCTACCCAATTTTGGGTTAACGACTGCTAATGTTCAACTCCGTGGCCTTTTAATTTTGAACCAAACCAAAAGGCAAGAACACTCCAGGATCAGTACCCCCAGAGGTCCTGATCTGTTAAGGGAACATGGAGGACTTTGTGACTCGACAGATTTAACGTGCATCAGTCACCATTAATACAAGGAGAGTCTTGACCTGCCTGGGATAAAACCCACGAACTCTTGGACATAGAAGCCAAGTGCCCTACCAACCAGGCTATCCCGGCCAAGTAATTAACATTTTTATTCTATTTTATAACGGTCGATGAACAGCCGACCCAATTTCAAGGGTTTACGACTACTTATGTTCAACTCCGTAGCCTTGTCATTTTTAACGCAATCCGGAAGACAAGGGAACTCCTGGATCGAACATTGGGAGAAATTTGCCTTCGTGGAGGACATTCTGATGGAACTAACCCGCATTTGCGTTACATGGAGAGGAAGACCACGAAAACCTCTCACGGATAGCTTGATGGCAATGGGAATCTAACCCATGATCCGTCTACCACTGAGGATATTTCACGTCAGCACTATGGTCGGTGAAAGCCGGATGCGGAATTCGTATCGACTGGGATTGGAAAGCGAACGCTCTATCCCCTGAGCCATTGCGGCTTAAGTAATTAATATTTATATAAATGCACAGTAAAACATTTTAGTGCGTCTTAACTCCAAAAATGGTAGTAACTATTTTACATCGAAGTGTTGTAATAAAACACCATGCATAACTCTTGGATCTAGTGTTTTACATATATTTAAATATAATTTCTCAATCGATTATGACAAAAAATAGACGAAATTTAATTTTTTTTTATAAAAATTATGCACAAAAACTATAACTAGCATTAAAAGGTTCAATCTTTTGACCGTTCTCCTGACTAAACTGAAGTGACCACATTTTCCAGATTGCTGTTACCCCGTTTTTTTTAGGGTCAAAAATCCAAATCCTTCCGAAAAAAAGGTATGTTAATGCAGGAAAAGTAGTTATTGTGTCTGATTTCATATCTTAAATTATCGTCTGTGCTGAATAATTAGCATACTTAAAGTTACACTCTCGGAACATTGAGTCTCAGCACATGAAAATCCAATCATTACATCAAAAGTTATTCAGGGTGACATCTTTTTTTTTTCCTTCACCTTAGAGTTAGTTTGAAAATAATCTTGATATTTCGAGGGCCTAATCTTATTATGCTAAATAAATAATGCAAATTTTAAGTTGCAAGATTTTACTTTACGTAATCACACATAAAAGCCTACTTTATTAAATAATCAAACATGCATTGTGAGTTAAACATCGGGTAGATTAAAGATAATATTAAAACAAAATTCGATCTAGGCTTAACGGAATGGAAGAGGATTGAAATTATACATTCTAAAATCATTTAATAGAGTTCTCAGAGATTTGAAAATAAAAACATAATTATCGCTATTGTACTATTTAAAAAATGCATTACGAATTTTTGCTTCCATTGCAGAAGGTCTGCATAGAAAATAAAAACCAATTCTCGCCAGCTTATTCCAGATTGTAAACAAACTACTCGCAATATTCTATTTGGCGTTTCGTGAATTTTTGATGTTCAAAAGGCACGAATCTCGATGTTTGCGAGAATGAAAATAATTCTGGTAGAGCCTGAAAGCTTGAGAATTTGATATAGGATTGCTCAATTTTAAGTGCTCAGATTTAAATTACACCCTTTAAATCATATATAAATAAAATGTGAACCCGGAATAAAGTGCTGTTTAACACATTTTAAATTGTTCAATGTTCATATTCGGAGAGATATTACACCACAGTTTTTACTGTGTAAGAAAGATATTAAACATACAAACACATAAATATGAAGGAATAATTATGATTTCATATAAATATATGAGATATTAGGGGCGTTTGAATAAATTATCCATATGTTGAGTTTATAAAAGTAAATATTTTGCTGAATTTTTTACACTTTCTTCATAATATTCAAAAAAAATTGTAATATTTGCCTTGGCCTTGAAAAAAATTTCTATTAAGCAAACTGAAGTCACTTTTTGTACTTTGCAAGTTTTATCCCAACATTTATTATAAGACCATTTAGTTAAAATGTCATTGCGAACCAGTTCTAGAAATTTTGTATTAGAGGGGGTAAAAACTCATTTAACCTATATGTTTAAGTTTGTGCAAATATTTCTTCTTTAAATACTTAAACATTCGGTTTGTGCAAATATCTCCTTTTTTTTAAGATAGTAAGTACATCGAGATTCAAGTTGGTTATGAAAAAGTATCCATTGGAATATATTTTTAGTTTCCATTAAATAAAAAAAAAAATCTCTGCAATAAGCAGGTTTCGATTCTTGATAAGTTTATTCCGATTTATTTATTTAAAATAAAAAGAACGCTATTTGATTTACTTCATTGCTGAAGTGTATGAAGTGAAGTAAAATTCCTTTCAATAATTAATATTTTTTTAAGAAAGTTTTTTAAATTTGGTTTGTAAAGCATATTTGTAAAATTTATTTATAAAATTGCTTTGCTGTATCATCTTCATTTCTTATTTATTTCGAAAACATTTTTGCAAGAGTAAGAAAAAGTAAAACAATTCTTACTTAGATCATAAGTTTAAACTTCATTAGAAGTTTTTTACTATTTAGTTTTTTCTCATAATTAATACTTTTTATTTAATTTTTAAGGCTTTTTCTTGCTATTTATTGCCTTATTTATATATTTGAACAAGAACAATTGGCAATATTGCAAAAATGTTATTAATCCTTTTTTAATATACTGTCTTATTTCTCTTATCTTCATTTTTTCGGTCTGTGTAGATTCCTTATGATTCCCCATGGAATTCCCCTCACGCTGATGAATATGACACCATGACTTTTAAGGAGTTTTTGGATAAAAATTGCTGGACAAGGTAAATCTATTTCATTTCCACCCTGTAAAACCCATAGTGTAATATTTATTCTAATTTGATGTTAAACAATCCCACAATTTATGTGAAGGAACATTTAATTGTATGTTAACAGCAAATTGAATTTTCATAAACATTATAAAAAAGTTTCATGTATCTGAACAATAAAAATGGTAACAACTTATTTACACCAAAGTACTGTTTCACCAAGTGTTCCAATACACCTGAATTAAGGATAGTTCCTGGTGTAGTGAAACAATTAGAATGATCGTTATTAAACTCTCTTTATTGACAATTTCAGTGATATTTATGGGATCTCTCCGGTCCCAGAGTAAACTCGCAAAAAATATCTCTGCATAATGAGCTGAATGAAAAAAGAATTCTAAAAGAATTATGAAACAGCAGCTGTCGCCATAGCAACGCGTGCAATGACGACGCATGCGCACTGTTTACTGTTACTCTTGAACAGATATGACAAGCATAAAAATCTACTTTTAGGTAACAATCTAAAGCAATAATCAAAATTAGGATGCATTTATACACTATTTCTTAAATTGAAATTTTTTAATCAAGCATACACACGACACATACAGAATAATAATATGGATTTAAACAAAACCGAAGTGCATAGAACAAAAATGTTATAACAATATTTTATAAAAACGAAAGATTAATATAAATCTTACGAGTACATAAATATCATTATTATACGTCTAAAAACAAGTGGAAATTTAACTCAAATGGATAAAATAGAAATGGATAAAGTGGAAATTTAATCCACCTACCGCATCACTATGGAGATAATTCTTGAAAAAATTAATTAAAATTTTAAAGGTTATCCTTCGAAGAAATTAAGGACATGACATATTAAGAGTTTTTATTGAACATTTGAAAAATATTTAACCAAGAATATTTATTTAATTTAAAAATAGGTTTTTCAATACCCGCCAATTACAAATCATAATGTATTACAAATTATTCTTATCAAAGTGAAACTCTAAACAAAGTTTTAAACCAAAAACATACATTTTATTATTTGTTTAAAACTATACATATCTTATTAAAAGATATTTTTTTTGTATAGGAACATTAAGAAACACTCAAAAATTCTATAGTATACAAAATTATAGTGAGCAATATATTTAACAAAAGAAACTTAATTTATAAAGAAAAAAAAGTTCGTTCTAAAAAACTCGTTTCTAAAAATATTAGTTTAAAGATAATGAATAATTTTATATACGATAAGTATAATTACAATAAACATAAAATTGTGCATTAAATTACCGAAATAATTTAAATAGCGAAATATATTAAAAAAACACAAAACAAGTAATATTTAGTAAAATTATCCAGACCACAGTATAAATCAAACAAATTTTTATTAAATTTAATTTTCAAATACTTTATTGAAAAATTTAAATAGTTTCAGAAACCTGCTGATATTAAATCGAAAGATTATAGTTTGTTTGTTTGTTTTTGTCACATCGAAGCTTTACTATTAAACAAAAAAAAATTAAAACGTTTAACTAATATCTACAGATTTTTAGAATCCGAAACAAAAAATATTCTGAATGTAATTAAAAACCAAAAATTACAAAACGTTCTTGCTATAAAAAAAATTCTAGTAATATTTAAATTAAAAAGTTGGAGAAATAAACAAACAAACCTTGTTTTTACAGTATTAAAATTTTAATTATGATCATACCTTTATTTACACACTTAAAATTCTAAAAACCATTTTTTATTAAATTTTTGTGTACTGTTTTCATTATACAAAAGAATACAACTAATTATTCATTTATTAATTTATAATAAATATTTCATTACAGTTTGATTCACTGAGAAGGTTTGTTCTAAATTAGAGTTTAAGAGTTAACACAGTTTAACGATGTAAGCATTCCCTTATTTTTCTCAAAATAAAGTAAAAGTACTAACAGTAGAATTTTAAACTCCGTGCTTGATTGTTTTAATCAAAAAAAGAGTAATTTTAATTGGGAACTAACGTACACAATAATAAAAATCACTTATTCCATTTTACTTATACAAATCCGTAAAACAAGCTTATTGTATAGACTGTCAGTGGTAACATCACAATTGCTTAACAAGACGTTGCAACGACTTTGTATTTATATTCTGAAAAATATTATACACCGTTGCAAGGTATGCACCGTTGCACCTTGTAATCCTCCGCAGCTGCATATAGTTCCGTTTTATTTCCTTATTAAATTATACAAATATGCTTTCAAAACAATATAAAACCTTTTAAAATTTAATCACATCAGACAGAAATTTAATTCGTGCTATCTTTTACGATATATATCATAGAATTATTAAAAAAAGTTATAGTTTCGTAGCCTTATTGAAATAAGGAGAACATTCGTTCCTGAAAAAGGCACAACTACATGACATTGCAAGAACATTGGATTTGATAGGACCACTAACAATGGCGCGTCTTACTTGCCTTAAAAAAATCAAGTACGAGATTAAAAACTTTTGCTTTTGTTTCGCTGTAAAAGAAAATCGTCTGCAAAAAACAATATATACGTTTATTTTTTTTCGGACGCATGCCCTCGCGGGTTAACGGAAATGGTTTGTTGATTCAATAAATGTTAGTAGTTGACACCCTACGATATAATATATATTGTCGTTTTATTTTATTTTGTACAGCATTTGTAGCATGAAGGAGTGAATAATGATTCTTTGTGATTTATTGTTCTAAAGCTAAGATTTATACTTCATTTTAATCAAAATTATTGAATCAAGTTTGGATTGCGTGAATTTATATTAGTGTTTCGAAATTTTTTCATTTTGAACATTTATGTTGAAGCATAATTGTTTTTAATCGACTCCAAATTATTTATTTTATATGTTAGTTTTATAATGCGGAAAGAAGATTTCGGTTTTATTTTTATTTACCGACTTTAATTTCTCATATAATGACTATAAACTAAGAAAATAAAAATATCTGCATTTCTAACGCTTTTCGCAATTTGTTCTTTAGTTCAAAAAGAATAATGATACACGTCATTCATATAAATATGTATTTTATTCAACATTAAAATGAATATAATAAAAAAAACGGTAAGAAATCAAATTATTTAAACTAAATACTAACAAAACTTTGCAAAATGTATTTTTGTCTTTATTAATAAACAACATCCTCATCGAATCAACATCTATGCATTGAATAAAATGAAACAAATGATCGGTCAGTTGTAAAGAACTTCATAAATTCTATTGAAAATAATAAAAGAAAACTATAAACTGAAAAGAAAACGATAAACTCATCAATCTAACTGACAGTTAAAAATCTTGCCGTAGCTTGGCGCTGAAACCGTTTGGTACACTGTTGCCATTTTGGCTCGCATCCTTTAAAAAAACTTGTAATCTTCTTATATGCTCTAGCATTAGAGTGAAAACTATTTATATTTCTCTGTGGTCAGCAATACGCAGAATATTAATACGCCAACTTGTTTATAAACAACCAGTTGGCGCTGAGGTCTTAAGTTAGACGGTTGTGTATCAGTAGTCTTCTTCTCTAGTTGAGAGTATTCCTTTAAGAATAAAGGAATATTTCAGTATCACATCGTGAGCCGTGATGACTCAGGGGATAGAGAGTTCGCCTTCCAATGAGGTGAACCGGGTTCGAATCCCAGCGATAGCAAGTCGATACGAATTCCACATCCGGCATGCACCGGCCTCAGTGCTGACGCAAAATATCCTCATTGGTAGACGGATCATGGATTAGAGTCCCTTTGCCGTCAGGCTAACCATGGGAGGTTCTCGTGATCTTCTACTCCATATAACGCAAAGGTGGGTTAGTCCCATCAAAAAGTCCTCCACGAAGGCAAATTTTCCCCAATTCTCGATCCAGGAGTTCCCTTGTCTTCTGGATTGGGTTCAAAATGGCAAGGCTACGGAGTTGAACATTAGTAGTCTTAATCCCAAAAAATTGAATCGGCTGTTCAGCGATGGTTATAAAATTAAAAAAAGTATCATTTCGTGTGATTTTCTGGCCAATAAGAATGCGACGATAACAGTGAAAAACAAATTTATGTTACTAAAAGTATATGTTAGATAAAAAAATCGATAATTATTTCATTGCCTTATATTTTAGCTATTTCTATTTGCCTTTAATTTTTTAGCGCTATTTTTTTTTTTATATTTTCAGATAATTTGTTAATTCTTGCCTTTCTTGTAATTGTTTCCCTTATAATTTTTAACAAATCCTCCAAACTTTTTTTTTGCAATTTAAATTATGATATTTCGACCTTAGATTTGTCATCAGCTCCTTTAACACAATAATTTACACTCATTGTCATAGTTAAATCTATTATTGTCGGGGTTTCTTTCATAATAAGTGCACTTTTGAAATTTGGAACTCACTCGATTACTATTGACATGAAAAATATTAATATGACAGGCAGTGTCATTACCTGTCATTAATTAATGAGTTAAAAAGCAATATTGGATGATAAATATAAGATTCTCCAGACTTCACTGAACTAAATTATATAAGAAGTATGTTTATATTATTTTTTTTTATTTTTTAGTGAAGCCAAAACATTTTTTAAGAATATAATGAATTTGAGCATTACATCTGACCCATATGAGGTATCGTTTTTGAACATGCTATTTTACACAAAACAATGTGGTGGATTTAAGAGATATATGGGTACTGAAAACGGTGCGCAGGTAAGAACAACAACTTTTCTTTTTTTGGTGCCTGTTCCCTTATGAAAAAATTGAGGTATAAATGAGGTACAAACGAGGTATATTTTAAAGGTATAAAAGGACGTTGTNTTTTCTTTTTTTGGTGCTTGTTAGTCCCAATAAACAAAGCGTTGTAAACAACACGCTTTTAACCACAGCCCTGTGATGCATATCATGTCTTGAAAATTTTACGTTTTACGAGTAAAACTAGCTTTTTCGAAAGTGGATTACTTTGGCCGAAGAATGCTTTAATACGATTCCTTTTACCGAAAGCCTTTACAGTAAAATCTGAGAGCTACCAAGCCACTTTGGTAAATCTTAAATTTCCCTGGTAAAAGCTTCTACCATACTGGCTTGGTAAAATTCCGAAGCATGATTTAAAAGGATTCTATTTCGGTACTTTACCAAGCTTTTGAGGTAAAACCTAAGAGTTACTTGGTCACTTTGCTCGATCCGGGTTTTTATTGATAAAGAATGTAATTTACAAGACTTCGGGCTTTTACAGTAACACATGCACTAATTATTATAAAAAAATTTCCTACTTTGAAACGTTATTTACATTTCAATTGAAGAAAACTGCATGAAAATAGTAATGCATTTATTTTAAATATTTTCTTTTATTTTATTTTTAGGAAATTTATAAAAAAAAAAATTACAATTTTGCTCTTGTTTATACTTTTTCAAAAAAAATTTTTTAAAAGTAAAAAAAACAAAATTTATAAACTTTTTTTAAAAACAAAACAGCAAGAAACTCACGAAGAGAAAGTGTGAACACTTTTATTCAAAATAAACACAACTGGTTTAAATGTTGAAGCATATTATTTTAAGCTATAAAAAGTAAACCAAAAATTAGCCAAATTAAAAACATCAATTTTTTTAAATTTTAAATATTTGTTAAAAAAATAACTCGCAGTAGACTTTCGGGCAATTTTTTTAAACTCAATTTTTTATATTTGTGGTGCACCAGTATAAAAAATTCACAATAATGAATGCATTTTTAAAAAAGTTTTAAAAAAATAATTCCAGGATATCTTTGAAATTAATATTATTTCCAAAGAACTGCCCTTTAGTTAATCATTAAGTATGAAAATAAAAATATAAATAATAAAGTATTCATTTTGTTTTAATCAAATTCAGCATATCAAAAATAAACCTTTTGGCAGCTGCAAACCATTCAATACAATTTGCCACCCAAAAAGTATATGATATCCAAAAAACTAAAGTTTAAAATTTATGAATAGAAAATTTCAAAAAAAAAATAATTCTTATATTATTTTGCTCAATACTTTGAATTCTTTTTGTAACTTTAAACTAATTATTTAACTTCATTTTATTTCATAACAGTCGTTGAACATCCGATCCAATTTTGAGTTCACGACAGCCAATGTTCAGCTCCATAGCTTTGTAATTTTAAAACTAATCCAGAAGACAAGAGAACTCCTGGATCAAGTATTGGGAGAAATTGCTTTCGTGGAGTCTTTTTTTATAACAAATAATCCACATCTGACGTTACTTGGAGAGGAAAATCACGAAAACTTTTCATGTTTAGCCTGATGGCAAGAAGACTGTAACCACTGATCCATCTACCGCTGAGGATATTTTACGACAATATTGTGGTTGGTGAGGATCGGGTGCGGAATTCGTATCGACCAGCCCACGCTGGAATTCGAACCCAGTTTACCTAATTAGGAGGTGAGCGCTCTATCCCCAAAGCCACCACTGCACAAACTAATAATTTGAAAAGTTAGTTGCTAAAAGTTGGGCGTCTAATTTTAACATTTGCAGTTGGATATTATTTGTTTGTATCATAACTATGTTTTTTACGCTCTTAACATCTTAACAACGTTTAAAATGAATCATTTAAATTACTCGCTAATAAAAGGGATGAAATTATAGGAATTCATGTCCTCATACTTTTCAGCTAGATCAAATTTTACACTATAATAGTAAATAAAAAGTTGGGAGAGCCTCAAAAAATAAGGCTAACGTAAACATTAACAAAGAAAACAGCGCGACAAGGTAAAATTAAAAAAAGTTGACATTAAATTTAGAGCTTCTTGGGGTGGATTGTTTTACATGACTGGGATTTTATTTTCACCAGCATGTGTTTTTAATATTTTACATGATAATAATTTAAAGTATTTTTATGTTCGTGTTATGATTTACTTATTATTACTGGCTTAGCGACGATTTTAATACAAATATGAATACTTAAAAAGGACGCCATAAATAACATATATTTGCTGAAATCGAACGACAAGAGGGCATCTTTTGATGCAGTTTTTGTAACCGATTACTTGAAATTTTGTGGCATTTATGAAAGTTTATTCGAGGAAAAATAGAAAGAAAATATTTGACCAACGGGTCATCAGTAATCCGGATAATACGATCAGAATTGTTTTCTTTTTTTATTTCCCTAAAGCTGCTTTGTAAAAACTAAAATCAAATTTTCTATTTATTCTTTATAAATATATTATTAGGAAAGAAAATTCAAAGGTGGATCTCAACAGATATGTGAAAAACTAGCTTTGAAAATTAACGCCTATAAAGGTAAGTAAGCTAATCCAGACCAAATCTTTTATGACTCATTCAATCCCAAGGATATTATACATATTGTTTCCTTACAAATAAAGATCAAATGAGAAGAACGGTGTGTCCATGAAAACTGATTCTTAAAAAAAAGAACAATTTTCAAGGAGCATAGGAACTGTTTTTTCTTATCACAGCCCATTTCCACTGCGTAATAACTCTCTTGGAGAACCGATTTAGCATGTTATTGATTTTTCAAAACTAAGTAATCCACAAAATTCATCAGATAACGATTCAATCGTCCTTTATGGGGAAAATGGACTTCTCTAAGCTGCTTTCCTCCCTTGATTTCCCAGCATGGAATTATTTAATAATATTTTATGCCATTTGGAAAATTACTTTATTTCACGCTTGTTTCTTAAAATAATTCTTAATTTTTTAAAAAATAAATATGACCCTGTTTTAAAAAGTGTCTCTTATTAAAAATTCTATAACTGACCTGTAACAAATTTTCCTAATTTTGCCATATTCTAGATTTAAAGCATTTTTAAGGCGTATTACATTTCAAGTAAAATGCTATGTTCGAATCCCGAACAAGGCATTCATTCTCTGTGCTATCTGTCTTTACTGTGGGAGCAATGTTGGCCCACTTAATAGAGTGCCCCTGAAAGAGTGACCAACAAATATACCGTCTTATACCTGAATGACTAGTGTCAATTGGTTGGGCATTGGAGAGAAAAAAACATTTCAAGTATAGTAGATATGAGATGCAATTAAACCAATTTATATATTGTTTTAGGTTCGCAAGTTATTACAAATTCTCCAGTCATAGGTATAAATCAAGAATCGACAGATTATGTCACGATAACAACCCTAAAAGGAGAAACTTTTAAGGTAATTGTTAGTATTAATTGCTCTTAAAACATCTTACGAAAATATCGTAATATTTCCCAAGGTATTCACATTTCTCGTAAATATAAATAAAATGCGCAATTCAAGTTACATTGCTTCTAAATTGTTCTGGTGCTTCCCAAAGCGATTGCTGAAAAAAAAACTAAAGTTTTCTTACAATTAATTTTTAAAAAGAATATTAGCCTGACGATGCATTTTAATTAGAGAACAAAAAAAATAGTGAATTGCCGACAGGCGAGTGCCTATTTCACGAAACTAGCTTCAAACATTTTTCATAAAGTTGGCATTTGCATAAAAAATTGATCCTGAAAACTTGCCTTAAGGAAGAAAAAAAAACTAGACGTTTAAAAGGTTTGGGGGACGACGACTTTCTTTCTGTTTATTCAGAGAACAATTTGAATTTCATTATTTTTATTTTGTGACATAGTTTGATTTCAACTAGCCTTTACTAATTTATTTTGTTCTTCTATTTCAGGCAAAATATGTCATTTTAGCTTGTCCTCCAGTGGTTCAAATGAAAATTCATTTCACTCCCCCCTTACCCCCTTTGAGAAACCAACTCCTGCAAAGGCTTCCAATGGGCACTACTTTCAAAAATATACTCTATTATGAAACTGCATTCTGGAAGGAAAAAGGTATATCTAAATTAAGAATCGAGGGGAAAGTAGCATCTGATTCAGTATTATGTAAATTTAACGTCCGATTCGATTCTGTTAAACTCGAATTAAATGTAATTTAGTAATGACTCGATGTAATTAGATAATTTTTAGAAACGTTTATTAATCTATGGAGTTAAAATTAAGTTTAACGAAAGAAAGTTAAATTAAAGAAAAATGAAAAATCAAAGTTAAATGAAAGAAATTTTTGATACTTTTTATGTTCTTTTTATCGCATGATAAGTTAATAATATGAACAAAAATGATAAAGTATTTCAATCTAATATACTTTTTTAAAGAATTAAAATAGTTGAAAAGCATTATGTGGATGCAATTATTAAAATTTAGAATAATTTTAGAATTGATTAAGAGATTCGATTATTTTGTCAAATAGTATGAAGTGGAGATGGCTCCTTTCCGCAAACTTTAAATTAATCCTGATTTTTCTTTTTAAATATCTAATTTTAATCATATTTTTAGTATTCGTAATTATTTAGGTAGTGACTCTGGTTCAACGGCCAGAATTGACTCGACTGTTAAATTCCTGTAATTACTAAAGAGGTGCTTTTTTACTGTCTGACAAACTATTTAAGAGCACTTGATATTTTGAATCATGTTTACTTGGATAAAAATTATCCAGACACATAACAGATAGGTTGAGACGTGTTTTTCAACCTTTTCAGGTTTGTGTGGAACTATATACATAGAAGGAGGTGATGAACATCCTATGTATTTAGCAATGGATGACACAAAACCTGATGGTAGTTATCCTGCACTTATAGGGTGAAAATCTTTCATTTCTTTTATCTTTTTTCTCTTCTAATCATATTACAGGGTGATAAAATTTTATATACGGACTACGTGACTGAACAGAAAACTTGGAGCCTCAAGCGAAATGAATGACATCCGCTGATAAGGTTTAATAGAATTTTTAAATTATTGTAAATTTCATAAATTTCATTTAATTCATTGTCTAAATTTTAATTTAGTTGAATAGGAGGAGCAAAGGTATTTCGCAAGTTAGGTGTAAGAAATGACGACTGGGTGCAATTTTCTAAGCGCCAAATTTAAGTTTTTCGATGCAAATTACGGCTGACGATCTTGATCGAACCCAGTTTAATCAATTCCTTCGTATTTACTTTCTTTTTGCTATATTTAAAACGAATTTTTAAACTAATATAGCTACTTTGCTCTTCTGATTACTATCCTTTTCACTGTAACTTCTTTTAGCGCTTTGTTATCTGAAGAACATTTTCTGAAAACCTTACTGCTCAGAAATTAGGGAGATGCTTCCATGTCAGTATTTGTTTGAGCCACGCCAACTTTTTTTTCCCCTCCTAGGTAATGATCTACGTCATGCAGGCATTTGAAGGGCAGATTTGTTGGCCACTTTTCCAGGGGAACCTTATCAAGTGGGCCAACGTTGCTCTTTCAGTAAGGACAAATAGTACAGAGAATTAAAGAACATCCAAGTCTTGCTCGGGATTCGATCCCAAAACCTTTCTGGTGAAAGGGCTGACCCCGATACAGTGCAGTAGGCTCACCGCGGCAACTTAAATTGCCAAATTGCACTTCCGGTACTTGCACTCCCAATTTAAACATAATGTATACATATGTTATATGTATGTTACATAAGCTTTAATATGTTATTTCTTTATCCAAATTCTACTTCTTAATTTATTATTCAAAATTAAATGGTTCCTCACATTTTATTATTCACACATGGCGTTTAAATTCAAGTATGTAAGAATTGGCGCTTTAAGTTTTTCCCTTTACTACGTGTGAGAACCATATTATTCCCTAGATCTATTTAACGAACCAAATGTAATTACTAATATTTCCCTTTTGAATTGAGGCGTAACTTATCATAGAGACAAACTTGTGTTACTTTCTCTAAAATAAAAACTCAAGTACACCCATTTCCCGGGTGCGATTTGAAGCTCTGCCAAACTAGAAAAATAATGGAATGAAAAATATTATGGGAAAAGGCAACGACTCTAACTAATTTAGCAAAACATTTATTAAATAAACACAGTACAGGACAATTAAACAAATGGTGAGGCCATCTGCCTCGTGAGCAATCAATCACCATTTGCTGCACTGGAAGTATTTAGTACAAACTGTGGTACACAATGGGATGCGTAATGAGATGCGTAAAGAGGGAAAGAAAACTTCCTTTATTTGTATTAAACAATGTACGATCCATGTGTTTTTGCTGCTTGGCCACCCAGTAATATGTCATGTTTATGTAAGACATATATGATTTTTGCTTTAGTTCTTCCTATCCTGTTATGTTTTTTTTTTCTTTCTTCTGAAATCTTGGCGCCCATTTTGGTGTTATTACCCACAACGAAAATCACCTTTGATTAGGGATACATTCAGAAGATATGTCTTCATTGCGTTTTTTTAGTTTGTTTTTTTAGATAAAATTTAATGCATATTTATCCACAACAAAAAAAAACCGAAAACTTGCTTTAATAGAGAAAGTATCGAAAATAATAATATTCGTTCATTCATGAGGAATGGAATTAGATGGAATAATCTAAGGAAAACTTAAAAATAAATCTAAACATTTTCTTTACGGTATTTTTAGCCATGTTATTTTAAAGAAAATGAAAAGTTTAAAAAAAACATCTCCAAAAGTAATTCAATTGAGCAAGGGTTAAGGTATTTTAAAATAGTTGTGTATATTTTCTTAGTTTACGTTAAATAAAATTGAAATTTTAATCTGGCTGGAAAAAGATAAGAATTGTGCAGAATATAAATTCCTGATAAAAAAAAAAAAGAAATAGATTCTCCATTACTTGAAAACTTTGAGTTACTCTCTGCATTTTATTTACTTTCCCTTTTATTCTTTTGTTTTTGTGAGATTATTTGTTTAATTTTAGTTAAGGTTTAATCACGTGGCTTTTTACTTCGGAAATGAAACTGAATTCAAAAGATAAAAAGGTTTTCGAATTTCTTTCGAGTTGCCGAAAAGTTTAAAAGATATTACGAATTTAGTTTGTTTTTCTATAGATTGTATTAAAGATAAATATCATTTTAAGTTATAAGTTTAAGAGTATTTCTCTAATTTAAAAAAAATAATCGAAATTTAATGATCGTATATCTTTTATTTTCTTCTTTTTTTTCAGTTTCATTCCTGCAGACCATTGTCGTAGCCTTCTTGATTTAACTCCTGAACAAAGGAAAGAAATCCTTGCCCGAAGTTTAGCTCAAGCAACTGGTTTAAACGAATTTTTACACGTACGTAATATCACTTTGTTTCTGATTAAATTAATATTGCCCACGCACAAAAATACTTCATTTAGTATTTTCTGTGTATAAATTTTCTTTTTATGGAAAAATGATAGGAAATTTTTTTTCAAATTAGAAGTCTTGGAAAAAATATTTTTTAATTGCTTTCAGCACACTCGCTAATATTTATACAAAATTTTTAAAAGTCAATGAAAAATATTTGCATAGTTACGGTATCATTTGAACCTTGAATTTGTATTTTTTTTCAAGATTAATGACAATTTATAAATTTATGTTTATTTGTTTCTGTAAAAAAAATTTGCGTTCTATAATCAAAGTCCTTTATTCATATTTTTGAATTCTTGTCGAAAATGAAATTTGAAAAAATTGTGTATTATGGGTGGTGAAAAATTTTAGAGCACTATAAAAAATATTTACATAATTACGGTATTATTTGCATCTTGAATTTTAATTCTTTTTAAGATAAATTTATGCTTATTTATTTCAGTATACGATTTTTCACTTTTCGCTTTCATATGCACACTGTTCTGCAAAAAATATCATAATTTTTAAAATTCATATTAAAAATATGGTTTGTAAAATATATTTATGAAAGGTAGTAAACTAATATTTGATCGAGGAAGATCAAAAACGCTATCGAAATCTACCGAATCACTAGTGAGAAAGACGAATATTTTGATTGTCTGATAAAAGTGTTTTACTGCTTCAAATAATCATCATGTAACTCCTCTGTTTCCACAAGGTAATCAAACAGGATTTGATATTTCAGTCTCACTTTCCGCAGTAGCGATTCATTATATTTCATTATATTCCTAGTTTGAATATCAATTTTCAGCCGCTAATGTTATACTTTTGTGACTTTATTTTTGATGAGGATCTTAAAAATATACATTAAAGGTGGTCATTAAGTAAAACCTTACGCATTAACTATTCTGAGAATTTGTTATATTTCACTACGAAGAATTTAAGTACCAGAGAAATAAATTATTTATATATTTACGAAGATTAATTGGCAATTTATTTTCATTTACTTCACTAAGAATTCTTGTTAACTTGTACAGCCTGTTCATTACGAGGAGAAGAACTGGATGGCAGAACAATATATCGGAGGTTGCTATACAGCTATATATCCTCCTGGCTTCTTTACTAGATATGGCAGGTAATTTATCAAGTACTTTCTAAACATTTTCTACATAGTTTCGGGTTACATTTTACTCTTTATCTACTGACCCGTCCCGAAAATATATTCTAGTTAGTAGTTAGTTTATTCTTCATTTACTGACCCCAAAATCATTTTCTAGAAAGTAATTTACATTTTACTCTTTATCTATCGACTCCAAAAACATTTTTCTAGTCAGTAATTTATATTTTACTCTTTATCTATCTACTCGAAAAGCATTTTCTAGATAGCAATTTATATTTTACTCTTTATTTATCTACTCTATCTAAATTTTCTCTTTATCTACATTTTCTAGATAGTAATTTACATTTTACTATTTATCTATTGACACCGAAAACATTTTCTTGACTGTAATTTACATTTTATTCTTTATCTATTTACCTCAGAAACATTTTCTCTACATTTTACTCTTTATTTACTATCCTGAAAATAATTTCTAGATAGTAGTAAAATACAGACCAAATTATGATTGATTTGTAAGCATGCTTTATCTATTAAAGAGTGACCTCTAACATGCATGGTTTTTTTACTTCACGCATTTACAAATATTTTATAGATGCATATAAAATGTGCATAAATATGTAGTAGAGGGTGATAATACAAAACACCCTCTTATTTTACGTTGTGTTGTTAGGTGTTGATAATATAAAACACCTTCTAATAATTTTTTTTCAAGAATTTTTTTTTTATTTTCATTATTTTACGTAGTATTATTTTCCTTCGAAGAATGAGATTTTTAAACTTATATAATTAAAACTAATGTTTCAAATTATTCTGTTTTTAATTTTCTCGCAGACTAAAAGTCCGTAGTCTTTATTTATCTTTATATGCACGTTCATCTGATCTGAGGTATATTAGACTATATATTAGATATATTAGCTGAGATGTATTAGATTATATAACTATATTAAGCATTACATTTCAACTGAACTTTTCCATATATTGTTTTGAAACAAAAGTTATTATCCTTTCTTGTGAATTATGAAAGGCAAATTGATCCATTGATTCATTTTTTCAACTACTTGTAGAGCACTCAGACAACCTATCGATAGACTGTACTTCGCCGGCACTGAAACTGCTATTTATTGGTCGGGATACATGACTGGTGCCGTTGAAGCTGGTGAGAGGGCGGCTAGAGAAATTCTGCACAGTCTGGGGAAAATAACGAAGGACCAGATATGGATAAAAGAACCAGAGTCCAAGGTTTTTATTCTATAGTATTCATCATAAAAACTACTGCTTTAAATCAATTTCTTTACACAAAATTTCGAGACGTGTATTTATATTAACTCTCATAGTAAAAAATATGCATGTTGTTATTGTTGTAGTTCATTTACGTCGCACTAGAGCTGCACAATGGGCTATTGGCGACGGTCTGGGAAACATCACGGAAGATGATCCGAAGACATGCCATCACAATTTCGATCCTCTGCGGAGGGGATGGCACCCCCGCTTCGGTAGCCCAACGACCTGCACGCGAAGTCGAGCACTTTACGGTAGCACAGTTCAACGAGGACCAATACCGCACACCCTCGGTACTTACGCAGACTGATCCAAGTGGTCACTGACAGTGGTCCGCACACTGACAGCAGCCAGTGATGCTTGACTTCGGAGATCTGCTAGGAACCGTGTCTTAACGATCAGTCCACTGCGGGACGTAAAAAATATGCATAAATAAACTTATGATTGGAACGATAGTTAACTTGCGTTTCAGTAATGCAATCCTTTGAGTGAATTTCACACCTCCAGTTTAATACGGTTGTATAATCCGCCTGAAGAATCAGTACGCAAATGTGCTGAGGCACTTATTAAATCTCTGCGAGGAGTGATATTCCATCGTCTAGTGAATTGTTAGAACGTATTTGCAGCTGAATCATTGACAACATCGTTTGAGCAGTTTTACTATGTAACTCTAAGATTAAGTGTTTAGATTTTAGTGTATTGTAATCGCAGGTTCTTGAATAACTCTTGGACATAAATCTGAGACTTTATCAACCATAAATGACTTCAGCCTTTAAGCCAATCAGTTTTCATATTTCAAACTGCCATTCTCCAAGTAACTGTTAATTGCTCTATCTTACAAAGAAAGGGAACCAAATATAGCACAAAATTTTGATATCAAAGAAAATCTTTCCTTATTGATTTTTACTTGCTGTATCGGAAAATGTTATTTTATTTGAAGCAACTTGTAGCGGTCCCAAGGTATCCTCTCCTACTCCCTCCATTAAAAAAAATGTTTTGAGTTGCATTTAACTTGAGGAAAAAAGAGTACAACTGAAGTACCTTAATGTCTCGAGAGAAAGCACTCGAATCTTTCATCTAACATTTCTAAAATAAATAGCTCTAACACTTCTCAAATAATACTTCTTGTTCGTTAGGTAGTTATGTTATTTTCTAGTGAAAATGCTCTACCGAGATGTTCCTATCGTAAATAAAGTTTCAGTAAGAAAATCTTTTAATGTGTCTTATTTGATTTTTATAAAAAATAATAATTAAAAGAGACATCTTACGTGGGGATAAAATGTATCTATCTTTTTATGTGGCATTTTTTTACATCAGCAGATAAGTTACTTAAACCGTGAGTGCTAATTTAAATGCATTAGTCACATAAAATATGAATGCAGAGTTTTCACGCACTTTAATTTATTGTGGAAATAGTTTGGATGGCTTAAAATATTCAATCTTTTTTCCATAGCAAATTTATGAATTCAAATAAGACGTAGTTTAATCAAAGTATTTAGAAGTGGAAAGAAAATTTCATAGATTTGTGCCAATATGATATAAATATCGCAATGTTGTTCTTCTTTTGCAGGATATTGTGGCGAAACCATTTACATATACTTTGTCAGAAAAGTATTCTCCGTCTGTTGGACAATTTCTGAAATGGTTAGTTTTCTCGGGCATTTTAGGAAGTGTCACAGTCGCAGCAGTGTTTGTAAAACGTTTCTACACATGAAATTATAAAATCACATCTCACATTTTACCCTTACAGTGTCAAAAAAAGATCTTACATGTAGTTGAAAATAATAAAACATTTATAAAACTAAGAAAAATAGCTGCTCATTACTGGCTTCTGTAGTTTAAATATTTTCGCTTTATCTTTTTCCGTAATTTTATCATAAAAGTGTTCAGTGATTGAGGACTATATTCATAGTTTGTATTAGATTACTACAACAGCCATTGTAAAAAAAAATAGTGATCTGTCTTTTCCACATTTATATTCCATTCATCGTAAGCACGCAATTGATTTCATCTTCCTTTGATTCCTGTACATTTTTCTCCTTAAAAGCGTCTCTACTTAACTCCTATTTTAATTTACGGAATCATTTTATGATTTGTCTTCTCGTGATTTCAATCAAGTCTCCCAAGGCTTTTTTTTTAGTTTGCAGTATATTTATTAAAAAGTTGTATTATTTACATTTTTAGTTATTATAAACATTTATTCTAATTTAAAACTAAATAAATAAACTCAAAAGATTTTTTAAAAAGAAATTACCATCATTTTATTAGAATAACACATCAGCGTTATCTTGAATAATATCTTTGTATAATGAAATTGTATTAAGAAAAGATCTAAATGCATGTAAAGGCAACGATTCTATGTATTAGTTAAGTGTCAAAAAGTACATGGTGTCAAAATAATGTTTGATATGAATTGTCAATCAGTATTTATCAATATATTTCAAATTACGGCTTGATTTTTTTGACATATAAATTACCCTTTTGTATATTTCAATTACAAATTAATACAATCAATTAAGTTCAAATATTTACAATCAATCAATTAGTGGTTGCTAAGTATTCTTCAGAAAATTTTACAGCAGATTTTATATAACTACAATCAATCAATCAATTTTTATTCAGTTTTCTTAATAATATTACTTGATAAGATTTATGGCAGAAATAATAACACAAGTATAATAAATTAAAAATGAACTAAATTTTAATCACTTATTTCCTGGATCTGAACTCCAAAAGTTTTTGACGAAAACAACAGTTAAAAATCACAAATATTTTAAAAACATTCAGTTATAATTATGCATCTTCATCATCAAAATCTTCATCGCTCAGAGGAGAATCTTCATCATCATCCGGAAGACAAACATAACATTTACCCTGATTAATAAATATTTCGAAATAAAAGATTATATTTAAATGATAGTATTCTGATGGTGCGATAATTGTGCGAATATTCATAATACCACATTCGTAACACAGTATTCACAATACCACAGACGTAACACAGTTATTGGAGGAGGATATACCACAATCCTCCTCATAAATAAGCAAGAAAAGATATCACTTTTTGATGAATTATTGTTGTGGTAAATAAGAGAAAAAGTATATTTAAAATCCACAAATTGCATTTTTTGTATGAATTTTATTAAAGATGAACACTGTAGGTCGGAAACACTTAAGTATTATTTTAATACGATCGGATTTAAACAAAAAAGCAATCAGTTTTAGCCGATAAATAAACTAATGTTTCTGGACATCTTTTTTTATTTTGACTTATTATATAATATTATTACTAATAATATACACTAAAAAAATTGCAAATTAGAAAATAATTTTAAAAAACACGTGTGTGAGAGCTTCATTTTCAAAATAGAGAGGCATTTAGAAAAAAATTTCTTAAAAAAATTAGTGTTCCAATAATTACTTCCGAAAAAAAACTATAGCTACAATTGGAATGTTTCTTATTCATAAATTCTAAAAAAACAATGCACTTTTTTTATTGGAATATAAAATAAATAAATAAATAAACATCAACCATTCTGCTACCAATGTTAAAAAGTGTTTCAATAAAAATAAATTATCTGAGGCAATTAACAATTTACATTTTAGTCAAATTTATGCAGTAAATCACTAAAAGTGCTTTCTGTTAAATCATATAAGGAAATTAAAACTTAATTTTGAAATGGTGGGTAACAGAGTGGAAAAATGTAACAAAAGGGAAAGCTGACAGTGGTTAAAATATTCTTTAATTCCAAATTACTGAATCTTAGTCATACAACTAACCTTAAACTGCCTTTAATACTTTTAATAACCTTAATATTTAATGAAATACTAAACTTAAAGTCAGACTATAAAGTTTCATAAGCATGGTAATAGAGTGGAAAACTAAGAAAGGAAACTACGTGTCAATTTACTTTGACGGGCTCAATTGAAAAGAAAAATATTTATCTAAAACTGAAGATCTTAATTTGAGCTTACCATAAAAAAATCAAATGAACATTAAAATAATAAATTTAAAACCGTTATGCTAGTAACAGAGGGGAAAGCGAATTAAATATCTTTACCTTGGCAAAGCTTTATTATCTTAGACTACAGCAAATAAAATACAATTTTTAAAATGACTACCTTATCTAAAAATAGACTATTCTGGGAGTCACGCGACTGCCAACTCAACAGAAATAATTTAATACAATAATTATGGTTACAGAGGGGGAAATATCCTGAGACAACATTAAAATGTTTGATTTTAACTCAAAGGTAGTTTTAAAACTATATATTAGATAAAGTGTGTTGTGTAAAGAAGTAAACGTTAAAAACTATTAAAAATAGAATTTTGTATGGGCTGGTAAGGTAGTTTTAGAATAATCTTAAAACAGGACAATAATAAGTTAAATGTACGACTATAAAAAATAGTGAATGGCGAAAAAAGCATAAGTTTCTTAAATCAATCATTGATAATAAAAAAAACACCATTAGCGAGAGAATAATGCGATGGAAAGTTAATAATCTCGTTTAATATTGTTGGAAAAAAGTGAATGATATTGTGGAACAACTACCACTACGAAAATTAAACATCAATTCACTGGTATATAAGACATGCTAACTTGATTCAATCATGAGGTACCTTTTGATAGATGAAGGTTGGCATGGTCGATAACTCCGCCGCCACATTGGTGACCCGGACGTGATTTGAACACGCAGTAACGCCCACTTCGCACAAATCTTGACAGTAACGCCTACTTCGTTGAATGATTCACATTGAACAGTTGACTTGCTACTTGTGACTGCGACATAATCAACCTCCTCACGCAGTTGCTACTCAGTCTCGTCTCGATTAAACACAACGTCTGCTTGCATACACTCGACTGCTAATGGCAACGCAGGAGCGACTACGACTGTGAGTTTAATACACCTCTCACATTCAGCACTCAAAAACCCGGTGACCTTAATTCCAGCTCTCCCGGTCTTTCACAAGTACAGCAACTAGTGGTATCCGTTCATCGAATTCTATCCCTGATGAAATTCTGGTGGGGGAGTATTGTGATCCATGGTCGATAACTCCGCCCCCACAATATCATTGACTGTCATTCAAATTGACTGCTGTTGTTTCAGATTGTTGGGGAAAAAGTGAATATATCGTTTAAAGTTGTTGGAAAGAAAGTAAGTATTATAGTTTTACATCATTGGGAAGGTAATGAAGTTACCATTTCATATTATGGGGATAAGGAGAATATCATTTCAGATTGTTAGAATCAGACAAGGGAATGAATGATATCGCATCATAAGGATATTATTATTTAATATTGTAAAGAATTTCAATTTCACCAAAATGATGTTTAAATTAAATCTTTAAGTAACAAGATGTTTTACATACCTGCATGTCCTTCCAACATTCCGGACAATAACAGAAGGGACATTCTTTTGAACATACAATGAAGGGTCTCTTTCTTGATTCCACTTCTTCACATACCAAACATTTCTTTTTACCAAATCCTAATTTTCCCAACCAACCGAAATATCTTGGATACAAAAGTCGTAAAGAGAGAAACACCCCACTGTCGAGCTAGATAAAATAAAAATCCATAATTACGTTTGTCGTTAGCTAAAGAAATGTGATAATTAATCCTTCACGTAAACGCGGCTTTTCGGAATCTTCCATCCTTTGGTTTTTCCCTTTTGTGTCAGACTTAGTTTAGAGCACTATTCGATCAGCTTAATTTAATCAACAACAAAAAAAGTCTCCGATGCAATGCGAAAATTAATAAATGTATTTACTTAGTAAAAAATGTCTCCGACCCCGAAATCTGATGCAAGTCAACAGGTAAAAAATCTTTTAGACGATGATTGGGAAATTCGTTAAATGTCAATATTTTTCGCTTGAACACCTACAAACATATCAACTTTAATCATGCAGTGATGGTGAGCGTTGAACATTATTAGTTTTGTTAAAATCATTTTTCACTTACAATCCCAAATATCAACATTTGCTGAAGCAAGAGAAAAATAATAACAATATTTTATATAACACTCACTATTACTACCTGTCGAATGTTGGAATGCATTAGACCAGTGTTTCCCAACCTCTTTTGTGCCATGCCCCACCTAAGCCTTTCTAAAAATCTTATGCCCCCCTATGTAACATATACATAATTTTTAATATTAAAAAATTGAATTGTTCACTTAAGAAACTTAAATGATATGTTTTAGGAAGAAATCACTAGGAAATTGTTAACGAAACACAGTAAATAAATTTTCAAAACATATAATAAAAAACTAAAATTCAAATTCGATATAATTTTAATAAGGATTTTTCTATAGTAATTTAATATTTCAATTTAGTGAGATCCTTGCGCTGGACGAACAGAGATTTCATGTTAGGTTCCAATTTGGTTGGCTCCTCGTTGTGTTGTTATATCCAGACGATTTCTTTTTTTACCAGTAAATCATTTACAGCACTAAATCCACATTCAGCTAAATATGAAGATGAAAGCGGTAACAATAGTTTTCTTGCACATTTGGTTGAATTTGATTTCTGTTTCCTCCCAAAGCCATGTCATCACTNGTCAAATTTATACAGTAAATCACCAAAAGTGCTTTCTGTTAAATCATATAAGGAAATTAAAACTTAATTTTGAAATGGTGGATAACAGAGTGGAAAAATGTAACAAAAGGGAAAGATGACAGTGGAGCTAAATTTAAAATATTCTTTCATTGCAAATTACTGAATTTTAGTCATACAAATAACCTTAACCTACCTTTATTTCTTTTAATAACCTTAATATTTAATGAAATACTAAACTTAAAGTCAGAGTATAAAGTTATCATAAACATGGTAATATTGGGGAAGAGTAACTAAGAAAGGAAACATGTCAATTTACTTTCACCGGCTCAATTAAAAAGAAAAATATTTATATAAAACTGAAGACCATAATTTGATCTTAGCATAAAAAAATCAACTGAACATTAAAATAATAAATTTAAAGCAATTATGCTAGTAACAGAGAGAAAAGTGAATTTAAACATCTTTACCTTGCCAAAGCTTTATTATCTTAGAACACAGCAAATAAAATAACAATTTTTAAAATGGCTACCTTATCTATCTAAAAATAGACTATTCTGGGAGTCACGCGACTGCCATTTCGACAGAAATAATTTAATACAATAAATATGGTTGCAGAGGGGAAAATATCCTGAGACAACTCAAAAGTAGTTTTAAAACTATATATTAGTTAAAGTGTGTTGTATAAAGAGATAAGCGCTACAAACTATTAAAAATAGAACTTCGCATGGGCTAATGAGATAGTTTTAAAATAGTCTTAAAATGGGATATTAATGGGTGTAATGTACGAGTACAAAAAATAGTGAATGGCGAAAAAAGCATAAGCTTCTTAAATTAATCATTGATGAATTAGCGAGAGAAATTCAATGTGAAGGAAAATTAATAATATCGTTTAATATTGTTCGGGAAAAAAAAGTGAATGATATCATTTAATATCGTAAAGAACTTGACTGCTATTGTTTCATATTGTTGGGGAAAAAGGGAATGCATCGTTTAGAGTTGTATGGAAGAAAGTGAGTATTATCGCTTCATATCATTGTGAAGGTAATAAAGTTACCATTTCATATGATAGGGATAAAGAGAAGATCATTTCAGATTGTTAGGATCAAAGTTAATTTCAAAAAAGGGAATGATATCGCATCAAAAGGAAGTGAAGGAATATTATTATTTAATATTGTAAAGAATGTCATTTTCACCAAAACGATGCTTAGTTAAATCTTCAAGTAACAAGATGTTCTACGTACCTGCATGTCCTTCCAACATTCCGGACAATAACAGAAGGGACATTCTTTAGAACATACAATGAAGGGTCTCTTTCTTGATTCCACTTCTTCGCATACCAAACATTTCTTTTTACCAAAGCCTAATTTTCCCAACCAACCGAAATATCTTGGATACAAAAGTCGTAAAGAGAGAAACACCCCACTGTCGAGCTGGAAAAAGAAAACGTGCAATATCCGTAATTACGTTTATCACAGCTAAAAAAATTTTGTTAATTAATCCTTCCTTCTTCACATAAACATGATTATCCGGAACCTTCCATGAACTTTTCTTGGGTTTTCATTCTTTGAGCCAGACTTAGTTTAGAGCACTATTCAATCAGCTTGTTTTAATCAACAAAAAAAGTCTCACGGGCAATGCGAAAATTTCTAAATGTATTTACTTAGTCATAAATGTCACCAGTTAACAGTTAAAAAGTCTTTTCGATGAAAATTGGAAAATTTCTTTAAATATTAAAACTTTTTGCTTGAACACATTCAAGCATATCAACTTTAAGCATTGTGAACGTTGAACATAATTTTGGTTAAAATCATTTTTCCCTTACAATCTAAAAATCCAAAATATCATCATTTACTGATGCAAGAGAGAAATAATGACAATTCAAAAATATCTTATGACGGCTTAGGGGATAGAGAGTTCGTATTCCAGTGAGGTGAATCGGGTTGGAACCAATGTCTGCACGATTTGAATTTCGCATCAAGCTTGCACCGACCACAGTGATGGCGTGAAATATCCTCAGTTATAGGCGGATTATGGGTAAGAGTATCCTTGCCGTTAAGCTAACCGTGAGATGCTTTCGTGGTTTTTTCCTATCCATGTAACGCGAACGTAGATTAGTACCAACAAAAAGTCTTCCACGAAGGCAGATTTTTCCCAATATCCAGAAGTTCCCTTGTCTTCTGGATTGGGTTCCAAATTACAAGAGTACGGACTTGAACATTAGTAGTCGTGAACACAAAAAATTGGGTCGGCTGCTCAATGACTGTTGAAAAATAAAAATAAAATGTCAGTGAGAGAACACTCGCCTCCCAATGAGATGATCTGGACTCAAATCCCAACGATGACGCCTCGATTGGAATTCTACTCCCGGCTCGCACAGACTATAATACTGACGTAAAACTATCGTCAGCGATAGTCAGATCATAAGTTAAAAACCACTTCAAATTAACGCAAATGCTGGTTAGTTCCATGAAAAATTCCCCCTCTGACTAGTTTATCCAATGCTTAATTCAGGAGTTATCTTGTCTTCTGGGTTAGGATAAAAATTAAAAAGCTCCGAAGTTGATAGACGTGAACTCAACATTGTGAGTTCGCTGTTAAACGTCAATTATAGAATATAATGTCAGAGAGAAATAATGATGTTCTACAAAAAAGTTTAATTCACTGTGTTGAATTGCAACATTTTCCGTCGTCATGTGAAAAATAGTGATTGTAACAAATACATCGATATGACAGTGAGAGTATATGTGTCGACAAATTTTAATTACTATACTTTTAATAATATATATTGGATGTTACATTTTTTACTAAATTAAATAAAAACTGAATGAATTGTAGAGTGCAAATTTTAAAAAAAAAATGCTTGAGTAAAAAACTCCATTTAAAACTTGGAAAAGTTTATAGCATCCGTTCGCACATAAATACAAATCAGCTATATATATCTTGTTTATATGAGTTTCAGTCACAGACAAATAATAGGATCCACTTCGAAGCAAACACAAAACAAGTTTCTTTTTGTTACACCAACAGGAGATTCCCGTATTAACTTAGAAACCGTTGAGGTGATGCTAAAGATTTAAAGAGTATGCACTCTAAAATTGAGTGCATTGGTCATATTGGTTTCTGTCATATTATTACATTATATTCGGCATCGAAATTTAAATAAAAGGATATAAGTTTAAATATTTAAGGTGCTTCAAAATGCAATTGTTTTAAAATCGAAATATCCTTTCAAAAACATTCATTTTATAGAATTGAAACAAAAAATCAAACAATATCATGAATTCAGTTAAAAATATTGAAATAACACAAAAGAATCATCATTTAAGCCTTAAGTTTATTACCGCTGCGAGCACAGTTGGTCGAAATGTATATCCATGTAGCCATTGCTCTAAAACGCTTCGCCCTTTTAGATGCTCTACTATTAGAGTGGAAAATCTTAACATATTTCTCTGTTTTTAACTTATGCTCTTAGAATAATATTCTCGAGCATAAAAGGTATCGAATTGTGCAAAAGTACGAATTACACATCAGAAATTTTTTTTAAATTTTAGATTGGCATAGTAAAGTAAAAGTTAAAGGATCAAAATCTCACCGCTAATGCCTGATCTCGTGCTCTTTTCCTAACTCGATGGCGCATGAATCGCATGTAGGCGTTCCTCTTCTTTAACCAGTCATTGTACAAAAAAAGTATACGTTTTTTCTCTCTCTGAAATGAAAACAGAATAATGAATTCATCTCGTTTTTACTAAACTGATCGCAAACTATGTTACTTTGGCGTCCATATTTTTTTTTTTTTCATTTTATAACTGTAGTTGAACAGACGACCCAATTCTTTTGGGTTTACTACCACTAATGTTCAATTCCGTAGTCTTGCATTTTTGAACCCAATCCAGAAGACTAGGGAACTCCTGGATCGAGCATTGGGAGAAATTTGCCTTGGTGGAAGCCTTTTTGATGGAACTAGCCCGCATTTGCGTTACATGGAAAGGAAAACCTCCCACGGTTAGCCTGACGGCAAGGGGACTCCAACCCATGATCCGTCTACCACTGAAGATATTTTACGTCGTCAGCACTGTGGTCGGTGCAAGGTGGTCGTATGCGTATCGACCAGCAATAGCTGAGATTCGAACCCGCTTCACCTCATTGAAAGGCGAATGCTCTATCTCCTGAGTCATCACGGCTTCCATAATTGTAGCGAATTGGACATCAAAACAATTAGAAAAAAAAAGTCCAAATCCACTTTAAATTATTCCCCAAAACTCACTAATGGCCGTACATCGGTGATTCTCTCCCTGGAGGGGGAGGGGATACCCATCTTGGGTGGTGTCAAAAAATTTCAATTGAGACGTGAGTTCTTTTTCCAAGTAAAAAGAAGCAAAACTGGCTATAATTTAGTTACGGGCCGTGATGGCTTAGGGGATAGAACGTTTGCCTTCCAATGAGGTGAACTGGATTCGAATCCCAGCGATGGCTGGTAGATACGAATTCTGCATCCGGCTTGCAGCAACCACAGTGTTGGAGCTTTCAAATGCAGTAACATTAACTTTAGATTTGTCCCAGATACTTGATAACTGAAATTTGACTTGTCTTCGCATGTAGCCAACATTAGCTGGGGATTCAAAGGCTTGAATGTACAAATGTCTGGTTGAAATTACTGGAAGTTTTAAAGTATCCACAAGATTAGAAGAAACGAAACTAGATTGACTTCCACCATCCAAAAGACAACGTGTTAATTTTGTAATGCCTGTGGGCCCAGTTATGAAAACTCGTGCAGTTTGCAAATGAACGAAACTGGAAGACGATACATCAATTTTGTTTGTATATGTAGCCGCAGGCTGCTCATTGGTTAGAGGTTTGCATATTGATGTATGGTGTTTTCTCTTGCATTTGGAACAGACAAATTTTTCTCTACGAGGGCAATTTTTTTTGTTATGTCCTCGGTTAGTGCACAAAAAACATCTATTACTAGTCTTCAATTTCTGTATGGGCGCGTCTATGTCCGTTACAACATTGCACTGTTGAGGCCAATGTCCGACAGTTTCACAGAAAGGACAAAAGGGTGACATTATTTTACTTTTGGTAACTGGTTTAGAATTCACGTTAAAATTTTCTAAGGAAGATTTAATAGGATAGTCTGGAGCAAGTGAACCTTTAATATTACTTGCAGTAATTGATCCCTCGACCTCTTCTGATAAAAATTTCATTAATTTTGAAATATCGCTTTCACCAAAATTTTCACGTTTGGCATGTACAATCCAGTTACGACAGATTTCATGAGGAAAAGCACGAAGTATTTTAGGAGCCAAAATTCTTCCGTATGATTGAGTTTTTTCTCCTAAAGCATCTAAAGCCTGTATTCTTCGATTACAATCAATACACCGATTATTCGGCACCAAATATTGGACTTTGTTGAGAGCAAATCAGACTGAAAGTCACGTAGAACAAACTGAAAACTTAACTTTTATTTACATCAAAAAGAATATAAAAACAAGAAAGATGTTGCCAGCACAGGAAACTCAAAACTATCTAACTAATCTCGAACTCAAACCTCAACTCACAGTGTCGACGCAAAATATCCTCAATGGTAGAGTCCCCTTACCTTCAGGCTAGCCATAGGAGGTTTTCCTCTTTATGTAACACAAATGCAGGCTAGTTCCATCAACAAGTCCTCCGCGAAGGCAAATTTCACCCAATACTTGATGCAGGAGTTCCCTTGTATTCTAGATTGGGTTCAAAATTACAAAGCTACTGCGTTGATTAGTAGTCGTAAACTCAAAAATTGGGTCGGCAGTTCAATGGCGGTTATAAAATAAAATATAACTTACATACATGAAGTTTAAATATCCGGAAGACATTTAAAATGATCTGAGGTTTTTTTTTTTTTTTTTTTTTTTTTTTTTTTTTTTACAGTTGCAATATAAAATTCAATAGCGTGTCAAAGACAAATATGATTACCTCATCTAAATCCTAAATATATTTACTACTTCGATTTCATATGTTTTATTGATATGCTCAAAATAAAGATCTAAGTAATTATATTAAATTTTTCTAATGTTATGTTCGACATTTTTTATTCAATTACCAGACACTATTTTAAATTACGATTGTGGTACTTGTAGAGACCACATAGGATTATAATGGTGGAGATCTATCAATGTTGAATAAGGGACTACAGAATGAATTGAGAATCCCTAGCGTGCATAGGTTAAGGCTTTTGTCCAATTAGCTAAGAAACGATGAACGTAAATCTTATTAGCAAAGAAATGAAATCAATGATATAAAAGTTAAATCAATCAAAACGGACAAAATTTGAAGTATCTGCTAGCATTAAAAACCATATTTCAAGAAAACGCCATTCAACTCTTGATTGGCCTTATTCACTGCTGTGATTATGTTTTTGATTATTGTACCAAATTAAATTATTAAAACCAGTATTCTTTTATTATTAATTAATCCTAGATATTACTTTGTTACGCGACAGTTTTTGGTTAAGATATTTACAAATCTTACCCATTTACCATTTATAGTTACCACACTGGAATTAAGTTAATTTTTACACTAAGCTAATAACAAAAGTAATTATGTGTCCAGTCAACGATTTCAGTAATGAATACGAAATTATTCATAAATAACTTTTAACACTATTGCTAAACAATCTCGAAAAATATTTAACGAGTTTTGATAATTAAAAATATTTGGGGGTTTAAACAAAAATTCCACATGTGGATCAGGATAAAATTTTATTTCATTAGTATCGATACTGGATACATGAACTAAATTTTAACGTAAATACGTTTCTGGGATCTTTTAATTGAATAATTTTTGGTTTTGATTTATTAATTTATCCATAGTGATAAAAAAAATTGATAGTATTTCAATCCTGGGGGTTAATGAGCGCACCAAACAGGGATCAGAGCTCCTTAGTCATAAAATATCTATCTGTGACTGCATTTATTCAAATGAGGAAAATAGTCGATATTTCTATAATACACTGCATAATTCAAACGTTCTTTGCTCAATGCAAACTTTAAGAGCAAACCTTTCCTGTTTCTCTGAATAAAACATTTTCCAAAAAAAATAGGTACTTCAGTAAAAAATGACAGAAATCTTTTTGCAGAATTTATGTTGATGGTATGAAAAATTCAGTTATTGTTTTACTAAGGCTTAAAAAAAAAATTTAAAAATAGCTGTTTATTATGAGATGAAAAAAATACTACTTTTCTTTAAAATGATAAAGTAAACTGTTTTTTCTTATCTATAATCAGAGATAAAAATTTGATACTTTTATATTAAATTTAAAAAGTTTTAAAGATTACTCTAAAAATACATTTTCTGGCATTAATTAGACATAATTTTTTTTAAAGCATTATTTTCCTATCAACTTTAAACATTTCGATAAAATATCATGAATGGGATCGATTGTGACATTTTTATATGCGACTTCAATGTAATTTCAATAACTAGAAAATATTAATCTTTTCTATTAATTTGTATTTAATAATTAATTAATCCTGAGATTGCTTTAATTCTTGAAATATAACATCATTTATTAGATTATGATAATTTTTGACATTTTATACAGCATACTTAAAAAACTGTTTTAACTATCGAAAGTAAAAAACAAAGTAATTTCAAGTAATTTTTTTTTTTAATTTTCTACTCATTTTCAAGAAATTTAATTAAAGCAAAATAAATATGAAGACATTAATTGGTTCATCACAAGCAAACAAATCCTACACTAATTCAATTCAATCCACTAGCAAACAAATTCTCTACGAAACATTATTCTAAAGATTTTAACTTAAATATTTACAGCAAAAGCAGTTTTCTGAATTTTTTAACTTTATTTTTGTATTAAGCTACGTTGTTTGTTTTTTTTGTATGTTTTTTCTATGAGAATAAAAGTTTTAATAAAAACCTAAAGAATGTTCAAAATTCCAACAAGCATATGAATTGATATTTCGTGCTTCGGTTAAAGTTTCAGGATGAATAATCTTTATACATTTTTTATACGCACATTTATTAAATTTAGTTTACATATATTTTTTGCCATTTAAAAAATGAAGTGTATAAAAAGTAGTTTCAAAGGACTTTTCTAATTTTCATCAATTTTGTAGGTAAATAAAAAAAGTTGAACAAAAACATTGGTTTTTGAGGAAAATATATTTTCTCTTTGTCAGTACACGTACAGTCAGCCAAAATAAAAACGAATCACTTTGAATAACTTTTTATCGGATCTTCACTTTCCGAGACTCATTTTTAATGGTTAAAGAGGGTGACCTCAAATATGCTAATTAATTAGTGCTGGCAATACCTTAAGTTACAAAATCAAACACAAAAACGCACTTTCTGTGAATGCCTTTTTTCAACGAATCCGGATTTCTGATCCCAAAATATGGGCCGCAATCTGGGAAAAAGGGTCTCCATAGTTTGGTCAGAGGAGCGATCCAAAGTTTTGACTCCCCAATGTTAAATTAACTTCTTGCGTATAACAGCACATCCCAAAAAATATCCCATTTTTGCACACAATTATGAAATGCAAAAAATAAATGCAAAAAATAAATTTTAGACAATATGTATTTTTCATTATTTTATTAAATGATAGTCGAAGAAATTTTTAATTGTAAGGTATACAATTTTTTACATTATTTTAAATTATGTAATTTTACATGTCAAAATACAAAATTTGAGCAAAATCGGTTGAACAGCTCCTGAGAAATCAAATTTTAAATATACGACTTTTTTTAAAAATTCGATTTCTCAGGAACTATTCAACCGATTTTGTTGAAATTTTGCCATGTGACATTCAAAAAAAATTACGTAATTATAAAATTACGTATAAAAAATATGTAATTAGGTTAAAAGTTGCATACATTACATTTCGAAAATTTTTAAACTTTTATTTAATAAAATACATATATGTTTATTAAAATTTACTTTTTGCTTGGAATTATCTTCGGATAAACGAGTTTAATAATTGTAGGCAAAAAAATTTTCAATTCGCTTAGAAATATCTCGAGATATGGCAAAATACGCAAAAAAATAATATGAATATTTAGATGTCCAAACTTTGAATCACTCTCCTGACCAAACTATGGGGACCATATTTTCCAGATTTCGGCTTCCCCTATATTTTGGGTATCAGAAATCTGAATCTCTTGATAAGAGGTTTGTTTATTCACAGAAAGTAGATTTTTGTGTCTGATTTCGTAACTTAAAATATCGCTAGCACTAATTAATCAGCATATTTGAGATCACTCCCTCAAACCATTAAGATTGAGTCTCAGAACGTGAAGATTCAATGATTAGATCATAAGTTATTCAGGGTGGTCTGTTTTTTTTTTTGTGCNTCAAAAGTTATTCAGGGTGGTCTGTTTGTTTTTTTTTTTTTTTTTGTGACTCACTGTACATGTACTGACAAGGAAAATACATTCTATATATTTTCTTCAAAAACCATTGTGTTTCCTCGTCTTTTTTATTTACCCGCAAAATTGATAAAATTAGAATAAGACACAGAAACTATTTTTTATAAACTTCATGGCAACAGATATATATGAACTAAATTTAATAAATGCGTGTATAAAAAATTTATCAAGCTTATTCACCCTGAAACTTTAACTGAAGCAGATGTTCATTGCACGAAATAAAAATGCAAACATCCTGAATAAATTCTGATCTAATGATCAAATTTGTACGTAAAAAGAAGCGATCTTTGAAATGCTGATTAAATAGATGATCGAATAGAAGAAGATCGTTCAAATAGACGATATTTTAAGTTACGAAATCTGACACTGAAATCTGAATCTTTTCCGAATAAACTTATTTTTTCGACGCATTTAAATTCTTCGTTTTTTGAGCATAGTGAATAGCAGCAATATGGAAAATAGGCTTCCTAAAGTTCAGAACTTTAAGCAGTTGAAAATTTGAGCAGTTTTTGCATGTTTCTGTAACTCATGAAGCGAAACTAAAATGTTTTTCTCTCTATTATAAAAAATTTTGATTCGAAAAAAATTTCATGTAAAAAAAAATTTTAATGATTTTAAAAAAAATAAATTAATTGAAAGCATTTGATAATATTTGGAACAGTCGAGAAACATTTGACTTGAAATAATTGAAATGAAAGACTTGATTGAATGATAAAATCTGAAATCTGAATTTAGACTGTTAGACTCCCAAAATGGAGATAAGCAGGCGAAAATTTGGACCCTTAAATATTAATTTCACTTTTTGCATATTTTTCCATAACTCAAGAACTTATTAAACTAATCTTAAAGTTTTTGAAAACATTTGTAAAGTTTATTTATTTAAAGATAAAATAATTTTTCATGCTTACTGATTATTTTCTTTATTATTTAATTAAATAAAGGTCGAAAATTTTTGAATTGTAATGTACATAATATCTTTCATCAATTCAATCTACATAATTTTAAATGATAAAATTTGAAATTTGAATGGGTCTAATAGTTAATGAGAAATAAAATTTAAGTGTACGACTTCCTTGAGATGACTAAATAAGCAAAATGTGAAATTAAAAAAAGATCCAAACTTCGAATTCTCTCTTGCCTAATCTATTAGAGAACTATTAACCCAGATTGCAACTACCCCCCTTCAAGAATTTTGAGGGTCGAGAGAAGGGAGATTCTTAACTTTTCTTTGTAAATTTCATTCTTCTTCAGTTCTTAATCTTCTCGTTATTGAGTTACACACACTGCATACAGAGATATAATATATAGTTAAGCAATATTTACTTTGGGAAAGAAGAACCTGCAGATTGCTCGGCGCAGTCTCAACGCATAAGTCTCTATGAACATCAGAGCGAAAATGAGAAGAAAGGTTGAATATAAAATAATGATAGAGTTGGAATGCAATTTCGAGGCTCGAGGTAAACATTCTGAAAGAAAAGGGAAAAAAAACAGATAAATGAGAAAGAGAGTAACATAAAAATTCTTCCCCAACGACGGCATATTTGTCAAAAATGGCGTCAAAAAAGAATAAATATTAGGTGTCATAAATGAATATTAAACCTTCAACTCGTTGAAAATTTTAAAACGTTTATACCCTCCTATTTAGTAGCCATTTTATTCTATGATAATTATTTATTGTGTGGAAAAATTATACTGTGTGTTTAAAGTTTTTTATGATTAAATTTGTTTCATTAAAATGCCTTACGTACTCAGCATACAAAAGGTGAGGTAATAAAAAATAATATTGATATCGAAATTTAATAAAACACTAGTTAAACTGTGGAACTGAAAACATTAAAAACTGCTTGATTGTCGCAAGAAAGAGAGAATAGTTGGAAGATAATTATTTGCAACGCTTCCACGCATTATCAAGAAATCAAACTAGGTTTGATGTGTTTCAAACCACCATCCATACAAGTGATTTTACGGACTACGATATTTTTTTTTTGTTTCTTCTTCGCTTGTATATCAATTTTTATGTACTTTTTTCTCACTTTACATTGAGCAAGAACTCTAAAGGTGCAACTTAAGCGTGATCATTACTAAACACCCAATATATATGCACTCTAAAATTACAGCAGAAGTAGTTCAGGCCAATTGAAGTCTAACTAAATCTATAAAAAGAAGTAATCCTGTCAGCGAACAGTGGTGGCTCGCGATTAGCGAACACTCGTCTTCCAAATAGGTGACTCAGGTTCGAATCCCAGCAATGAATGGTAGATGAAAAGTTTGCTCCCGACTACCGCAGTTCTGATGTACAAATATCCTGAGTGGTAGACGGATCAAGGGCTAGAATCACTTTGCCATCGGGCTAACCATGGGAGGCTTTAGTTTTACTTTCCATATAAGGCAAATGTCGATTAGTTATAACGACACTCTTCACGACACTAACGCCTGTATGTTATAACGTCACTCCTCACTTCGAAAATATAGGATGAGCATAAGATAACGCAAAGTTGTTAAGAACCCTTATTACGCGATTTACTAGGTGGGTCACAAAAAATATAAAACGAAAATCACTGGTAGAGGAAAATGCGACGCTTCAAGCATGATATGAGCAATAAAGGAATACAGATTTGTTAAGAAATAATTGAAAAAAAAACTTTTTATTAGCAAAAAGCACCACCTTGACCAGTAAACACCTTTCTGAGCTTAATGTTTCAATGATATGCCTTAATATTATGCTTGTCCGACGAAATTTTGAACTCTCGATAAGTTTTAGATTGGGACATTGCGCCATTTATTTTTTTCATTATACTAGTACATCACGTGTTATTGGATTATTAACTCCCTATTTCTATTTCTATGCGTTCTGCTGCTCTTAAATGTCCATGTTTAATAAGATTTTATAGTCTAAATCTATTTCATTTATTTTTTCACATACCTTTGAATAAAAGGAGGTATTTCGTGGATAAAGATGTTTTGCAATTTTTTTTTGACAAGGGTAGTTTTTTAGTGGATGTTTTAAAACTTTTTCTAATCTGCCTTTGAATACAAAGTTGTTTTAAGTGAATAACATGGTTGTTCAAACAGCTTTTTGATGCCTCTAAACATTCCAATATAGATTTTTGTGATTTTACTAAAATGTTGCTCTAACCTGTTCTTCCCTTCAGTTATTCAAATATTGGATCGATAACATTAGTAATAAAGTACCTGCCGTTGTTGTAAATTCATCAATCTTATGTTTCTTATCGAATCCTTTCAAAACACTTCGCACCATTGTTCCCACAAATCCATCGCCAAAGACAGTCATCTTTATGTGGTGGACGCCTAAAAGGTATTAACATCACTCAACTTCAATCTTTTGAGCATCATAGATTGTTTAATACCATCTTTTCAACCATTACTGGTACTAAACAACACAATTCACTTTCTTTCTTTCTGGTTTCAGTGAGGTTTTCTTTTAAAACTAACTTTATAATGCTATCTTTTTGTCTGCTGCTTTTTTTTAATGTTGTTTTCGCGACAATAAAGACATTTTTGAATAAGCCGTCCCTCTAGAGCTGCACAACGGAATATTCGCGATAGCAACGCTCGAAATACGGCATCTGGGGAGAAGACCAGTTCCATGTCCTGACCCTCTCCCAGTCCCTCTCCTCCTCGTCTCAGTTGTACAGGAATGTACAACGATATTTTCACTTTTCTAAATATTTTTCGTATTTAATTGTCACAAATAGATTTTAAAAATTCCATGACGATTCGAACTAAAATTCCTTTCGAACTATGTTTACTGTAGTTTTCAGTTCCATATAGTTGCCTAACTTAAAAGTTTTTAATCTATTTGAAAATCAAAGCAGAAACTAACGTACTTCCTTCCTCTATGACTCTCCCCGCGCTAATAGTGCAAGCAGACGAAGTATAGAGTTCTGCTCTATACCGTCTGCAGTCCATTTCAATTGCCAATTATCGGTAGTCTGGGAAGCATCCCTGATGATGATCCGAAAACACGCCATCACAGTGTTGATCCTCTGCAGAGAGAATGACTGACCAGCTTGAATACACCCATGAGAGCCGTGGTGGCTCAGGGGATTGAGCGCTTACCTACCAAAGCCGTGAACTGGGTTTGGATCTGAGCGATGGCTGGTCGATTTGATTCCGCACTCGCCTTGCACCGACCACAGTGCTGACGTAAAACATTCTCAGTGGTCGACGGATCATGAGTTTAGAGTCCCCTTGTCGCCAGCCTAACCATGAGAGGTTTTCGGGGTTTTCCTCTCCATGTAACGCAAATGCGGGTTAGTTCCATCATAAATTCCTCCACGAAGGCAAATTTCTCCCAATACTTGATCCAGGAGTTCCATTGCCTTCTGGACTTAGTTCAAAATTACAAGGTTACGGAGTTGAACATTGGTAGTCGTTAACTCAAAATTGGGTCAGTTGCTTAACAACGGTTATAAAATTAAAAATACACTGACGACCTACGCATGAATTCGAGCATTACGATAGTTTAACGAGGAATGATACAGCACAACCCCGGCTCCCTGTATTTTACGATCAATCCACTGTAGGACTATATTTTTGAAAGATAATCATTCAAAGGTTAGTCATGAGCATCAACATATTTTTTAAAGTTTAGTAGATTTTCTTTCAGTTGAAAATTGAATTTCTCTGCTTATGAAAAACTGAGGTGGAAGAAAATTCAAAAATAGTTGATAGATATTCAAAGAACAAAAACTTTTATTTGCTTTTGATATATGCAAAACCGAATAAGCCTTTTTCCATCTCAAAAATAATTCACTTTAGAAATGTTCAAACAAAACATTGTAAGCTTAAAATTGATTTTTATCATGTTGTAGGATCCTATAAAAGGGATATTGAGTTAACTTTTATCTACTAAAATAATGCTTCTATTTTCTAGCAAAATTAACAAGCACAACAAAAATATTTTCAGTAATTGAATAAAAATTTTAACACCAGTTTTGGCGTAGGTTTTGCTTTATCTTGAAAACTTCGTATTCTTTCAAATCTGTATTTTGGTGCAAAATATTAAAATAAAATACAATGAGATATTCACTCCGTTATTGTTTGTATAATTATTACACTTCAATATACATAATTCCCGAATATTAATTTTACTTTAAAATAAATTGTACATACATTTCCTCAATAATGCCTTATAATCTATATAAACATCAAGCTAGCATTCTAAAAGCTCACTTTTAAATTATTTATTATTTTATTGTTATTACTATTTTTTTAGGAAAGAAGAAATAAAAATATATATATACCAGTCTGATAATATGTAATCTGGGAATGTCTTTGTATAAGCATTAGAAATTCGCAGAATATCCAGTCAAATGTCAAAATAATCGAAGCAGTCAATAACTCTCCAACCAACAAAATTGAATTCATAAGCTTTCAATAAATAAAAAACACCATTTTTAGTTAGTGTCTATAAAAAAACTGACAGTTTTAATTTACAACAAACCATGTAAACTAGACTTGTCTATCTTCTATGTTGACCGATGAAGTAAGTCAAATTTTACTAGGTGACTATTAACTATTGATATTAAACACTATTTTTATTGATATATTTGACTATTGATATTAAACACTATTTTAAACCCTTCATAATTTTACCGGAAGAATAAACTTTCTCCGGAAATTTTATATACTGTATTCTTTTCCTTAATTTCACTGAATCAGTAACATAATGTGAAAAAACTAATTAAACCTCTTTGTAAGTTGACCGTATGAGAAAACTACTAAGAGCTTTTCCCGTATAGTGAATGGTGACAGGTGCACATTAAATATGTCGGGTCACAAAGTCATCCGTAACAAATTATATCTCTGTGTGTACTGGATTGGAGATTGATCGTTCTCTGGTTGAGGGCAAAATTACGATCTGTGGATGAATGAATGGATGTATGAATGTGTCCACCCTATAAACGGGTGTGACGTATGGGTGTGGAAGAAGACGAATTCTAAGCCGTAGATGACACCACTGGAAAAACAAGAACAATCACACCCCTTTCCTTAATGGCCAATGACAACAACAACTAAGGGTTTCTGTAACAAATATGTTTATAAATATAACAACATAAACTTTGAAATCTCGAAATAAATATGATGTAAAGATTTCTATTTAAATCTATGTTCGTGTGTACTGATATTTTAAGAAATTATTCATAATCAATAATCGACTTTCGTCATTAACAAAATATGCATAATTGCTGTTTTATACTAATCTGTCTAGTATCAAATATGCGCTAAAAAATTTCTTTTGGCAATTAATTCCACTCTTAAGATTTATGGTTTATTTGCTAAATAAAATGTTAAAATCGAGTTTTAAAAAAAAACTTAAGTACGTTTGTTTTTATTTTGAATCATTATATGCAATAAATATACTGCGTAAAAAATATATGAATAACATGAAGATTTTAATTTATATACAAAAAGAAATGAAGTCAAAAAAATTGATCCCTCAAACCCCTCTATAAGATGACCACTGAAGCTACGTACAGAAAGTAGTCAATAAGTTTTATTGTATAACAAATATTTAGAAGTCTAATCGGAGAAAAGAGCGTCTGTATGAGTTATCTTCATTTATTATCGCTTTATGGATGGATATTTGTTATTTACAGAAAACAAAATAATTCCTTACAACAGGACAAATTTCCCATTGAGAAACGTTTTAGCATATTTGCAACAACTAATAGCATTCTCAATATTTGCTTGTGCACAAAGCATCAAAAAGTTTACGCATAATGGACATTATTGTTCATATTTTACTTTGTGTGACGTAGCTGGATCAACTGTTAATCGAGCTCAAAGCCAAAGCGTAAATTTATCATTATACAAAGCCAAAGCCTGAATATAAACAAAAACAGATTTTCTGTAGCTTACTAAGAAGTTTACCTTTTCTCAAACATACACAAAGCGGTTATGTTATAGAACCGGTAAAACTTCTTACTTTGCTTTGGAGATCACCTTACTTATGAAGCAAATATTCAAACCGAAACAGTTTAGAAGTTCGGCCCCAAAAAATTTTATGTTGTTTGTCATGTTGTAATGTAAATGCTGTATGTTCAAATTATGCGTCTAGGTTAAAAAAAAAACTTATTTTCATAAAATCTTGAATTAAATTGGCTACACGCAATCATATGATTGTATATAATCGCGAGATTGCGCATGGCGTATTAAGGTTACAGTCTTAAGGCTTGGTTTTCTTATAACACTAAATATATTTTTGGTTCATATTTAATTAGATACCTGCGATGGCACACGTATATGATAAACCTGTGTTAGCTGATCCAAGCGTAACGTCGCTTGCAAGTATCAAACTATCCTCACAATAAAAATTATCGTTTTAAATTCTTAGACCAAATTTTGAAACTCGCATTTTCTCTAAAGCATTGTTCCTAAACCGCTAAATTCTATTACCGTTAATTTGTTATTTATTGAATATCGAATACAAGAAAGACATTTCCCCCAACCTATAAGCAGAAGGATAAAAATTATTCTAATTAAATCTGATTCTTTGCTTTCTTCGATTTGAAGATATCATCCATCAAACATCCGGGAAAGAGATGTATGCCAAGGAGGCAGTGTCTGTGGTCTGTGTCTAGGGTGGTATTTGTTTGGGTGGAAGCACAAACCTGCATGTGTTTTCACGTGGAATCGTGATACATAAGTTCGAGATATATACTAAAAAAGATTAGATATAAGTTCGAGATAAAAACTAAAAAAGATTATCCCCATCTTTATGCAAGAGCAATTAAGATTATCTATTTCTATAACTTATTTGTGGGAAACTACATTTTTAGTTATGGGTGTTCTTGAAACTAAACAACGAAATCAGCTTAGTCTTGCTTTTGCTTTAAGTGCTGCTGTAACTAGTTTGACACTTAGAATTGACATGTTAGTCAGCAACAACAGAAACCCAGTTATTCATTTTCTTGAATGTTTATTATATCCTATTTACTTTTTTCGTATTTACTTCTACTACAGTCTGTCTTAACGGAGAACTCCTCCCGCCACAAAGTCTGAGGCCGTTTTGTGCTATGGAAACAAGAATGGTGCATTTTAGGGAGCGTAGCTTTACTCTAGGACTAACACAGTAGACTGAAGAAACAGATTCCCTTTCTCCTTCCGACCCGAGCCGAAACCACTCCAAAACAGTGACCCCGCACCCCTACTTGAAATAGTCATACCTCGTTACCATGGTCACAAGTCCAGACGAATATCTGGAGGATTTCTTATTTTAGACAAACTATACCTACACATCGTTACACAATTTGGCTTCGCAATTTTGTTATTTGAGCTAACATTCATATTAGAATACGAATGTTAGCAAAGCTAACATTCGTATTTGAATTAATACAAATTTTAGTTGTATTTAAATACGTTTAGACTCAAAATAATTTCTTTGTATTGAGCATGTAAATGATCAGAAATAAACATATCAAAGAATTATTTGTTTAAGTGCCACAATCTTTAATAAGCAAAAATTATATCCATAGTCCCAATTTCTAACTTTACCGGTCCATGATAAAACACTGAAATATTTCATTGGTCTTTCCAGTAAATCAGGTTGAGAAACACTGCTGAAAAGAATCCTTAGCTTTTTTATACCCGCTCTAAAGCTTTAAATTTTTTTTTCAATCAATACTAACATAAATTCTTAATGATTGTATGATAAAACACATAAAAAATGATGAAAATTTAATTATTTACTAGTTTGGCTTTCTCATCCTTTGAGATCCTGACTCTAAATGGCTCCACCAACTCTATCTTTTCACCTTTTTTAAGAGGCAGCAGTGTCACTTTATCCTAAAAATATAGCTCATCTATAGGAAATCATCTCAAAATGCCGTCTTATGTATTGTCTGAGAGTAGGATACTGATCACTTTTAATACTTAAAATTTATGCATGTTGTCATAGTTTCAAAATAAATATAAACTCTTCTCAAGGTTATACCTTCCTTTTTCAAGAAAAATCTCCAAAGATGATCCTTCACAATTTTGATCCTCAACAGGGAATATTGCTACCCTGCTTTGATAATCCAACTCGAACTCTTAACGGTAGAACAGTATAACAATGATACCTCACATTTTCAGTCTCTTTGTAGACTGACCAAAGTTGCCACCCACTTGCTCACTGACCATTGCTAGCGATGCTTGACTTCGTTGTTCTATTGGGAACCATGTCTTTAGGATCAGTCCTTTAAATGAAGTAGATACTTTATTCCAATATTTTTTCTCTATTTCTATGTCCATTGGATTTACAAAGATACTCTAAGTTTATGTATATATTATGCTAAATTTATGAAGCCTCCCTATCCGAGTGGTATCTCCCGCCAAGTGAAGTGCAAAACGTGGAGGTAACGGGTTCGAATCTCGCTATCACCCTGGATGTATCTTTGTGCTGTCCTTCTCTGTATTGTGCTATCTGTCCTTCCATTTGACAAAGGTTTATAAGCCTAAATTGAACACACAAACCTGCAAATGTATGTAATTCCAATAAACAATAAACTAAATTTATGCATATACCATTGCTCACTTCGCTCGCCAACTTCCAGCTATTGCTAACGCTATAAAAAGTTTCTTGACGACGAACAGAATATTGTCCAAAAGAAATTTATAATTTGATTTCTCGGAAAATTGCAAATTTTACATTGAATTTGCTTAGTTTCTTCATGAACATCTTGCACTTTCACTTTTCCATCATCATTATCAACAACAACAACTCAACTTCCCTTACAACATATAGGATGAAAGCGAATAGCAATGGAGTACTTGTAGTTTATTTACGTCACACTAGAGCTGCACGATGGGCTATTGGCGATGGTCTGAGAAACACCCCTGAGGATGATCCGAAGACATGCTATCACAATTTTGATCCTCTTCAGAGGGGATGGCACCCCCGCTTCGGTAGCCCGACGACCTGCACGCGAAGTTGAGCACTTTAAAGTAGAACAGTTTAACGAAGACCAATACCGCACATCCTCGGTCCCTACACAGACAGGTCCAAGTGGTCACCCACCCGCACACTGATCGTAGCCAGTGATGCTTGACTTCGGTGATCTGCTGGGAACCGTGTCTTAACTATCAGTCCACTGCGGGACGCGAATAGCAAAGATCCTCTACTTCCGTATTGGAACCACAAACTTTTGGATTTTAAATTCTCAGAAAACTGAACATCTTGCACTTTCACTTTGTCATCATCATCATCAACAACAACAACAACTCAACTCAATTCCCCTTAAAGCACACAGGATAAAGGCGAATAGCAAAGTTCCGCTACTTCACTCTACCCAAGAACAGAATATGCCTCGTCCCAGTTCAAAATTAAATATGTTTGAAAAAGAATAAAACTTTGATCACACATATAAATTACGTTAATGCAAGCATTGCAAAATGAAAATTTTAGAAGAGTAACACTGGCCAAAATGTGTGGTGGAAATGAATCATGCTGCGTTACATTCGACAAAAGTATTATATAACTCATTATATTTAATAATTTATAGATTTTAATGACTTAATCTGCTCGGTGCTTTGTATATTTATTTTTAGGTTGCATTAAATTAAAAATATTAATTGTTTTTGTAATTTCACTAAGAAAAGAATGATTGTGTTACTTCTTATTCTATAATATGCTAGTTTTTGAAGAAAAAACTAGGACTTAGCCTCTTGAAATTTCAAAGAGCTTTAACCTATTTTTTTTAATTCTTGATAGATACCTATAAACCATATTAACTTAAATCTTTGTAGTCATCTGAGTGTATTGAAAGACAACGGGAGTTTCAAATTTAAAAAAATAACACTAAAATCCAAAATTCTGAATTTTTAAAAAGTATGGATATGCTTAGTATAAGAATATTTCTCTCTTCTTATAAATATATATTGAAATTCATATTATGAAAAAAAACAGATGCTTACCTGTGCTTTTCTTCTTTCATCAATATGACGAAAATATGAAGTTATGTACCTATTGTCGAACTCTATGTTCCTTAAGTATTGATCGCAGTATTTACGAGAGCTTTAAAAAAGAAAGGTAATTAATCACAAAGTTTAAAATCATAATGTTACTTAAATGTGAAATCTTTCGAAAAATATCGGTTTCATTGACAAAAACTAGAAGCCTCATGCTCATAAGAAATTTTGCCCAGCAAAAAAACATTGGTAAATTTTGAACGAAATGGTTTAAATCCTTAAAACAAGCTTCATTTTTTAAATAGAATCTATTGATGATTATTTTAAATGTTATTAGTTAAAATGAGTAAGTGGCTTAACAAGAATTGTAAAGCTATTTAGTCTAAAATTAAATTAATTTCATTCTAATTTTAGTTCGCAGAATTGTTATTATTACATCAGACTTTCCTAAGCAACTATAAATGCAGTAGAGAAAAAAAAATGAGGTTTAATTATGACTTTTATTTAAGTTAATAACAAACGAAAAGTTTTTTTCATAGTAAGTTGCACAAATTCTTATATAATTTTAAATTGTATAGTTTTTAGTTACAAAATCCAAAATTTAACTGAAGTGTTAATTTAGGGAAATTTAAAAAAAAAAAATTTTTTTTTGCTCATAAACTGTTTGATTAAGATAAAATTTTGATTTTGGTACTTAAAATTACATGGTTAAAATTAGGTACAAATTTATCGATTTAAATGTTCAAAAATATTAAAATCATCGTTAAAGAAAATAATAAAAATAAAAAGTTTTGAATTGTTTGATTTGCTTAAAATAATTTCAGAATTGTAAGGAGATGCGTTAAAAATAAGGTTAAAGAGCGCAACCTAATAAATCTCTGCTAACTAAACTATTGGGTACATATTTCCCAAATTGAAGATCCTAATTTCCTGCCGGTGAATATTGTGTATGTTGTTTCGGAACAACAAAATATTCCATTTAGAACAATAATTCTGTTCTATCGATTTGCAGTTAGAAATATGTACTTTTGCTTACTATAGCATGAACAATAAAATACTGTTTAAATTTAACTAAATTTACTCATTTTTACGATTTCTATTTCATTTTATACACACGATAACGTGCAATATTCGGGATTGCGATTACGTGCATAATTTCATTAAAACCAATGACTGACAATCGTGATGCAATGATTAAAATGATTAATATTTGAACATACGTCTGGAAAACGAAGATAAATGTAAAGGTGAGAATTCTGGTTGCGAGATTAAGAAAAAATTCTAACGTTCGTTTCTTCTTTTCGAACTGATATTTCAGAGAATGTCCAATATCTTGAGGTGTAATTTGATCCACTTTTTCCGGCGGGATATCTAACTGTAAAAATAAAGAGTAGTTTTTTTTCATATTATAAGAAAAAGGCATTTTTTAAATACATATTCAATGATATTTCACGAAATTGCGTTTCCTAATATAATGAAGAAAGATTGTATCTGTGAGCTTTAATGTGATAAAGAATAATTTTAGGGATACTATCTTAGGGTTTTCTAGTGTAATTAATAATTTAGAGATTTACGTATTTGAAATCTAATGAGATATGATGTAATTTTGAAGATTATATTCTGCGGGGTCTAGTATGGTGAGTGATTAATAGGATTGTCCTAACGCTTGCACCCTAATATGATGGAAGAGGAATCAAATGTAGACATTGACTAACATATTTTTAACGTATATTAGACATTTTTTAATGATGTCTAGTAATTAGTAGAGCTATTTGTGTGAAATACATTTTAAATAAATGGATTGTTTTGTAAAAATAAAACAAATATTTTATTTTCCCAGAAGTTGCACAAATATTAAGAAAAAAAACCAAACGACAATTTAATCCTCAGTATATTTACTTTGATTTCATAGAATAATATTTTTGATCGATTTTTAAACATGTTTTTCTTGAAATCGTGCCTAAAACTAGCGTAGCTAAAAAATATGCTTTTAAAGCTTTCATACAAAACAAGCATCCCGCAACAGCCCGTTATGAACCATAGGCTCCATAATTTCGTGACCATTATTTCATATCCGTCGTTGAACAGCCAACCTGATTCTGAGTTTACGGCTAACAAGTTCAATTCCGTAGTCTTGTAATTTTGAACCCAATCCAGAAGTCAAGGAAACTCCCGTGTCAGTACCCCCAGAGGTGTGATTTGATATGGGAACATGGTGGCCCGACAGACTTAACTTGCACCAGTCACCAAGGGGAAGGAGAATCTTCGCCCGACAGAAATCAAACCCACAACCTATTGGACATAGGGCCAGTGCCCTACTAAACCAGGCTATCCTGGTCACGTAACCATGATTGTGGAAATGTGGCTAGCATGAGCCGTGGGGGCTCAGGGGATAGAGCTTTCACCTTCCAATGAGGTGACCCGGAATCGAATACGAATTCTGAATTCGGCTCGCAGTGACATAAAATATCCTCAGGGGTAGATGGATCATGGGTTAGAGATCCCTTGCCATCAGGTTACCGTGGGAGGTTTTCGTGCTTTACCTCTCCGTGTAACGCAAATGCTGGTTTGTTCCATTAATAAGTCTTCCACGAAGGCCAATTTCTCCCAATACTTGATCCAGAAATTCCTTTGCCTTCTGAACTGGATTCAAAATTGCAAGATTATGGAGTTGAACATTAATAGTCGTAAACCCGAAAATTGGGTCTGCTGTTCAACGACGGTTGCAAAATATAAGAAAATGTGGTTAGCATTGCGCACAGGTCGCCTTCACTTCCTAGATAATGCATTGATCTGAAGATGAACGGGCTTAAAGCCGCCATTCGGAATCGATCCCTAGTGCTTCAAATTAACATTTCAGTGCCTCAACCACTGGACCGTGGATAGAATATGGGTAATTTTTTCAGTGACTTTTATGATATGCATAAAACAAAATCTAAGTTAATGTATGAAGCAAAAAAAAACTTAGAGTTCAATAAAAGGTTTTTGATAATGCACTGCATAACATTATGTGGATTTTAAACAACATTTTTCAGGTACTTTATTTTATAACTAAGTTTTAATAAAAATAATAATAATAATGCGATTCGAGCTTATTTAATCTGTATATATGTTAAAACCGACAATAATGCTGCAGCTACTAGAAGTAATTCATGACTTAATGAATTTTTCTGTTGCGTATCTTTTTTTTAACATTGGAAAACATCAGATATGAGAGGATACTATAATTTTTTCGTGTAAAATATTTTTTACAAGTTTAGTTTTTTTTTTCTCTCAAAAGGAATTTTATTCAGACTAAAGTGGAAACAACGAACACCCTTAAAAGTTGTCCATGAGGCACGTAAGTTATTCTCAAGTTCAATTCCAGCTAATTATCATAAATAAAATAATTTAACTTTCAAACATCAATTTCTTACTCATACTTTGTAATGTACTTGAACACCGAATTCCTTGTCAAATTCTTTCTGAACTTCATCCGCTGTGTCCATGCTTTCTCCGAAACCGGGACTCAAGGCATCTTTTGAATCACAAGCTCGCTTTCCCATAAATGCTACGATACAATTTGATACTATATTTAGATAGTATATAAGAAATTATAGAAAAATATGTGTACACACTTTCATTTTAATGAAAGAAACATTGAACATAAACTTTAAGCAAGCGCTAATTAACGCTAACTTTTACTTTATGTTTTAAACTTTAATTAGCGCTAACTTTTTGAAAGTGGTTAGTGTATTATCTTTTACTGTACTTTCTTTAAAAAAATAAATGCAAATTTTTAAAAAGAAGATTTTTTGTTTCGTTTGAGTTAAACATATCACGGAAAAAAAATTTATTTTAAAAAAAAATAATAATTTCATTTATTTTTATCTTTTACGTTTCGTTACAGAAATAAATTTAAAAAATACATAACCCAACAACAAAATTAAAAAGTCTGTGATTATCTCTAACCTAGCTCTAAAGGAAAGTCTTTATAAGTGATAAACTTAAAAATCAAAATTTAAAAAAAATTACCAGAAAAGAGTCATTGCCATATTAGTTAAATACAAATAAAATTCTCCCAAAATGAAAAAAAAATATGAATAGTCCATCAAAATAGTATTGCTGAAAAACAATAAGGTCAAAAAATGGTTATTTTGTCAATATTTTATCAATATCAGTGAACTGAACAAACATGATTATTAGGCATAGTTGATTCAATTTTCAAATCTAAATGTCAAAATTCATAATTTAAAGTGCAGAAATTTCAAACAGAAATGTTTGTTAAACCGGCTTAGTAGTTCCTGATTTAAAAAATTGACCTGAAAGCTGGCCATGTGAAGTAGAAGAAACAGCCGTGACCCTTTAGGTGATCCCCATATAATAGATGCATTCATTAAATTTAAAATTATAAATCAAACACTTTTTCTTACCTCCAGCAATATCACAAATGAAAGTGAGCTTCATGGGCCAACACAAGAGATATCCTATGACTGGTAAGTAACTATGACAACGATCATAGGCTGCACCAAAGCTTTTATAGCATGCTTTAACGCCTTTCGTGAAAATCCCTAAGGAAAGGAATGAAAAAGAAGAAAATATTATAATTGTACTGACAAAAAAAAACTTCACATTTAAAATAATGACACGGTGAATTTAATCTAAGCTATTTAGTTGTATACAATACTCTGGTTGACTCTTCCATCAAGAGATGGTGGATAGAGGGTTAGCCTACAACGTCTTAAGCTTGAGTTCGATTTTCCGTTCAAAAGGCTGTATGACTGACCAGACTCTAATCTTGTATCAGTTTATAGGAATCCTATCGGATGCTATATATCTAGTGATTATGAAACGAGAATAGTCCATGCCCGTTTAGATGTGATGCGGATGCTGAGTGATTACAATCACTCTATATTTGTGTAATGTGAAAATATTGTATTTGGATCATCCTTCAGGATGAATCCCAAACCATCGCCAATTAGTGTAGCTTTAGTGAAAAGTTTACTTTGCAACAAAACTTTGCATAAGAAGCAATAACACTGTTTCATTTCAGTTGGGTCCCGCAGTGAACTGATAGTTAAGACACGGTTCCCAGCAGATCACCGAAGTCAAGCATCACTGGCTGCGGTCAGTGTGCAGGTGGGTGGCCACTTGGATCAGTCTGCGTAGGGACCGAGGATGTGCGGTATGGGTCCTCGTTAAACTGCGCTACGGTAAAATGCTCGACTTCACGTGCAGGTCATTGGGCTACCGACGCGGGGGTGACATCCCCTCTGCAGAGGATCAAAATTGCGATGGTATGTCTTCGGATCATCCTCAGGGATGTTTCCCAGACCGTCACCAATAGCCCATTGTGCAGCTCTAGTGCGACGTAAATGAACTACAACTACAAAATCATTTCAATTGGAAATTTGTAGTTTAAAGAAAAGTGAATTCAGGTGACACAAAGGGGAATCGGATGTTCTATCACAGTTCTTGCCTAATTTTTTGTAACTTTTCCCAGAATTTATTCTCTGTACTACTATTCCCTTATCGAATAGGTTGTTCAAAGCTAAATTTTGTAAATAGAGAAATAATATGAAACATTAAACATTGCATTAACAATGCTTAAAACGTTTTTTTTTTATTTTTTTTTATTTTTTTTTTTATTTTTTTTTTTACGGCAGGGACTGAACTTTCGTTTTTCACCTCGGAAGATGCCGGAAGTGTTGCGGATTTAACGTTACCCAGTGAGCACCTGTCACGGAGGCGAGCAACATAGTATTGGCTTAAATGATTAACATGCCTAAAACGTTGTATTGGCGTTATTGTACTATACCGTTCGTTACCTTACACTTAAATGCACAAACATATTTTTGCGTTTTTTACACTAAAAGGTTTCAATTTATATGAGTAACGCATTATATAATTACAAAAACAACATCGTTCATTGAAGATTTTTAATACTTCGTTGAACGTTTCTCTGAGTTTTCTCGCATCATTCTTAACGTATTTTATCTCATGACTTTCCCTCAAATCCGAAAGCAACCCAATCGCACAATAAATTAATTACGCAATTATTAATTAAATAATAATATTAAATAATAATAATTAAATAATAATAATTAAATAATAATAATTAAATAATAATATTAATAAATAATAATAACAATTACAGCGGGAAGATTATTATGAAAAAAAAATTTTTTTGGCTACACTTATAAACATTAATACCTGATTAATACATCTTAAACATTCATATTTGAATTTTCGATTCTTTATTGTGAATAAAGTTGTGAAGCGACCTTTTTACTCTTTAAAAATCAAGATTTATACATCAAAACATAAGTGTTGCTACCTTTAAGTGAAATTTTCTTGAACGACAGTAAAACATAATAATGTATATACTTACAAAAATTCTAATAATTAAATGCGAAATTAATAAATTATAATTTATTTCTGATATGTCAAGTAATAACATGACTTAAAAACTTAGTTTCAAATGTCTTGTCTAAGAATAATTTAATGCCTTTCTGAAGAAATTTATTGCCTTATTGAGAAAAATCATAGAGTTATTTATTTTTTTCACAGAGATATTTTTCGATTTGTTCCATAGCTTGATGTTTTAAAAAGCTCAAACTCCCCTCGACAAGTGAAATACAAATATGATTCATATGCAAATATTTGATATTGTCATGCGATATATTATTAGTAGCTATCAGATTAATCTTTCATTCCATTTGTAGGAATAAAAAGTCAAATGTTGTTAGCAATCAAAAGTGTCATAAAATTTTTTGGTTAGTTACTTTTTCAGAAATATGGGCATGGGTTTACTATTATGAATGTCTAAAATTTATTATTTCGGGTTTATTAGTTTCTGGCTCATTTGCATTTGTGTAAGAAAAATGAAAAGAAATAACATTGCTTTGAATAAAAATAACGATTAAGTGATCTTTAATTACTATTTTTATAGCTTATAAAATATTTCAGTAAGTTTTACCATTATAAAACAATTGTGACCATAAATTACAAAAGTTAAGAGACCATGAATTAGAAAATTGTAATTTTAAAGTTTTATAACTTTACAAATGCAAATAAATTTTTAAGTTGTGTCTGAAAAGTAAAACTTTTTACACGTGAAAAAATAATGTGAAAAGTGTTGCTTTAGGTATTTATGTAATTTTAATAACTAACAATTAAATTTCATTATTGAGTTAATTAAGAATACATATTACAATAAGGAATACACTTTATTTTTTCCCTTTTTCTTTTTAGAATTCAATTCCAAAAACGAGTACCATTGCTGAACGCACAAAATTAGAATAAAAAGCAATTTCAGAAAACTAAGCTCTTTAAGCTGTTTCTAAGTAGCAGATGAAAAAAAATGCGGGATTTTTTTAAAATTCTTCGTAAGGAGATTTGCTTCATATTTTTATACTATATCAAAATATCACACAACACATACTACTACCGAAATAAAACTAGAGAAACTACAAAAGAAAATTTTATTATCCCAGATTACGGTTTTACCAANTGCAATGATTTGAATTCCACTTGTACCTTGATGGAATTCAAATCATTGCAAACTCAATTATTTGGTCAAATAGAACTGAAAGAAATTTTGAATATATGACAAAATAGAAGTTTAAAAAAATTCGTCAGTTATTATTTTTTTTAGTATTTATACCTACTAGAAGTTATTAAGTTCAGTTTCTACCCTTCAGTTTCTACTGATTAATTTTTATAGCTAACCTTCATAATTTTAACTCTATTTTTCTCGAGTCAACATTCGAGCTACAACATTGCTGTATATGTCACTATTTTATTCATGAACGAAGTTCTTTGTTCAACCCAAGATTTAATCAGCTCGAAATCTGAATAGTAAACTTCTGAAATTTTAAATGAAAAACTTCAATTGAGGGCCAGCTCAGTAAATGACATAACTAATTTCAGTCATAAATGCCTCTCAAAATTAAGCTAAACATGAGTAACTTACCTCTTCTTCAATTTCTTTGTAAGCTCCTTCGAATCCTTTCGTACCATCTTTTAATTTATCTCCTGCACCCTGGAAACAAACAACAGACTATATTTAAGAATATTCTTAAGCTTCAGTTCATATGTTTTAATAACATTCAGTCAACATACCACGAGATCCCAGACTATTTCTTTCACCGGTTTAAACATGAGCTTAAAGCGTTTCACTGTATGGTTGTAATTTAATGATGCTATGCAACTTATGACACGGGTCGATTCCTTTGCATTGCTAATAATATTTTCTAGAGGGCCTGAAACACACAAAAAATACAACAGCTCTTGACACTGAATCCAAGAATACCCAATCTTGAAATTGAATCCAAGAACATTGAATCCAAATGACAAAAACTAAAAAGCTACATTTTGAAAACGCTACATTTCTTAGATTTAAAAAAGGCAGCAGAGAGAAAAATGGAGCATTTATAACCTGCACATTACTAAAAGAAAATTGACCCCTGAGTGATGAGTCCCGCAGTGGACTGATACTTAAGACATGGTACCCAGCAGATCACCAAAGTCAAGCATCACTGGCTGTGGTCATTGTGTGGGTGGATGACCACTTTGATCAACATGCGATGGGACCGAGGCTGTGTCGTATTGATCCAAGTTAAACTGTTCTACCGTAAAGTGCTCGACTTTGCTTTCGGGTCGTTGGGCTACCGAAGCGAATATCAAATTGTGAGATCAAAATTGTGAAAGCATATCTTCGGATCATCCTCAGGTTCCCAGGCCGTCGCCAATAGCTTATTATGCAGCTCTAGTGAGACGTAAATAAATTACAACAACTACCATCCTGAGTGAGGAAAAAATAAAATATTATCAAAACATAACATTTCACTGTCTTATTTTATTTTCATTCTATATTTATTTTTTATTTGAACAGCCGATCTAATTTTGAATTTACGACTACCAATGTCCAACTCCGACGTAGCCTAGTAATTTTAAACGCGATCCAAAGGCCAATGGAACTCCTGAATCAAATATTGGGAGAAATTTGCCTCCGTGGTGGACTTTTTCATGGAACTAAGCCGCATTTGCGCTACATGGAGAGTAAAACTACGAAAACCTCCCATGGTTAGCCTGACGGCAAGGGGACTCTAACCCGTGATCTGTCTACCACAGAGGTTATTTTACTTCAGCACTGAGAAGGTTGCTAGCAGATTGCGTAATTAGTACAAAACAGCCATCATGGGATTCGAGACCGGGTCAACTCATTGGGAGTCTATCGTTTTATTCCCTGAGACGTATTATTATCAAGAACATATAAGGGGGTGTTAAATACTCAAAAACCAGTTCATTTATGTAACAAATCGTAAAAACACTCGGGATACACCCTTAATAGCAAGATTGTTTTAACTCCACCTTTGCTGTGAGAATGAGTCGTCAAATTCTGATAATTTTTATTTCACTTATACAAATGATAACAATTATACAATCTTCCAATCTATAGGACCTCGTAATTTAATTTTTAACAAGATTTTAAAAATATATATTAAAAGTATTGATTATGTGTATTTCATGCATAGAATATTTCTCATTTTGTACTTTTCAGAAGTCTAGAATTAATACTTAAAAAGCACTTTGGTTACCATACGCAAATTGAAAGTCTTACTAATACCTTTCAGTTTTCCCCAATAGGTATTGATTATTTGATATAACCTACTTTCTTAATGATTAGTCAGGTTTTAAAAATATTTTTGTTTTTCCCTTTATTTAATATAATTATAAAAGTCTTAAATTCATATTTCAACATGAACTATTTTTGAAACACAATTCTAAAAACATGTAGTTACTGATTTAATTATGAAACACCCATTCTAAATTTTCCTGATGCAACCAAGAAAAAATAAGAAACAAAATTATTACTTAATGAAGTCATTCATATCGATGTATCGTCATTATCAAGATTTCTTAAGCATAACAATAACACTAGATTAAAATGAATTTTCGTGATATGATTTTCGTACAATTAACATCCAACGTACGTTATTTACCGACAATGATAATATCACAATCGTTATTGCAATCGATAAATATCTAAAAGGATAATATCAGGGGTATAATCGAAAAAGGCAGTTATTGAACACATTACCTTTTGGTAACGGTAATTATTGATATTATCATGTGTGTTGATAAATTTTATTCGACTTACGAACATAGTGACTGCTTCATTTTATAACTGTCGTTGAACAGCCGACTTAATTTTAAGTTTGCGATTACCAATGTTCAACTCTATAACTTTGTAATTTTGAACCCAATCCAGAAGACAAAGGAACTTCTAATACAAGTATTGGGAGAAATTTGCCTTTGTGGGGGTCTTAATGATCGGAACTAATCCGGTTTTTCGTTGCATGGAGAAGAAAACCACGAAAACTTCCCACAGTTAGCCAGACAAAAAAGGTACTCTCATCCATGATCCATTTATCCCTGAGGATATTTTACGTCAACACGGTGGTCGGTGCGAGCCGGGTGGAGAATTTGTATCTACCAGCCATTTGTATCTACGATTGCACTATCTCCTGCACTATCTCCTGAGCCACCATGACCCACTTAGTGACTAATGCTAAAATAACGTAAAGTGGAAAAATATAGCGATATATAGTGAAATATCAATTTTTTTCTAATGACATACCGCAATATTACTCACCTGTAATAATCATGGTTAATATAAAAGTGTTGATGTATGCTCTACCAGTTTTACCACAGAGGGATGGAATGGTTAGGAAGCAGATGCACCTGACTTGAGTTGAAATGGCATAGCCTATTCCCATCCACAGCATCAAAATCATTCCCGAAATGCGAGTTGAAAAAGGATTCAGGCGAAGTCTTTCTATAATTATTTTTTGTAAAACTACAAACAAAAAGAATAAATCAATATCCTTTTCAAACGGTTTAGTACCGTTTGAGAAATACTAGTGCTTCTCATTTTAAGAGAGAGTGGAAAATTTTCTAGTGTCTTGCGTTTAAAATGAAAAGGGTTGTTCTGCTTTAGGCGGTGAGTCTTGAGGCTACCATAATTGGCTTATGAGCACGCACATCTGTAGCTACAGTAATACCTGGTTTGTCTACAGGTCACCTCACACGTCTTCACACATCAGTACTTTTTTTCTGTATTAGGCCTTGGGGAGTATTCTTCCCATCAAACTTCATTCATTTTTAGATGTCGGCGGGAGGCAATTTTCCAGGCTATGGTTTGTGCAGCCATTTTCTGATAACTTCATAGAATAAAATAAAAAATCCCAAGGAAAGGCTTTGCTTACATAAATAGGGGCAACAATAAAGATTTGCGAGGGGTCTAGAACAGAAATTAACGCTGTTAAGCTATTTACTCTTATGCGTTGCACGTTCGTTCACTTGATCATTTTTCGTCGAACTTATTTTTTCGCTGCAAAAACTGAGGGACAATATCTCTCCGAATAGAATGTTGTACAACACAAAAAACTGCGTGAAGGAACATTTTTTCAAGTTAACACGAAATCAAGCTTCCATATACAATTTAAAGGATGCTTTTAAATCCAGAAAACTTTCAATATAAAAAAAAAGTCGGTTTGGCGATCAATGTGCCTGCCTGTTAAGCCAATGTTTACGGGTTCTAATCCCGCTCAGGGCATGGATGTTTCTTATTGTATCTTGTTCTCTGTTGTATAAATGTGGCACACCCTACCAACGGTTCCGGGACAGTGTCGTGCGGGTAATTTTTCTCACTTTCACGACGAAAGTTCAAGGTGTCCACCGGGTAATAATAAATCAGCAACAGGCCCGGCATTTTCCGAATCAAAGAACGAGAGGTTCAGTGTCTACCATTAGAAAAAATAAACAATCTAAAAAGTTTAAGCCAGACTCACGCGCATTCACACCAAACGTTAAATATTTTCGCTACATTGTTAGCACATTTTCTACATTATCTATGGAATGATTGCAATTGATTGAGGAATTGGCGTGAGTTCTGTTGTTTTCTTCAATTCTGCTATCTACGAACGCAAACAAATATTCGCCTTTAAAATATGTATGTTTTTAGTCGAGTAAAAAGGATAGTTATATCGTAGTTTTTAAGTCTCTGTAAACTGCATTAAGTAATTTTATAATGCATAATTTCTATCCGCTTCTGCTCTGTTAAGCCTAATTCGAACTCGTCTTAATATTCCTTTTGTGCTGCGTGAATGTCAGATCTACAAATTAATTCTATTTTAAGAATTAGTGCATTCTAAATTTATGTTTCTTTTTTTTAATTGTCTCGTAAATATAACTTGACTCTTGTACGTATCGTATCTTACTACAAATATAAATATTCATGTAACTGAAAACCAAAAATAGTGGCAGCTACCTTAAACCAAGTAGTGTAAAAGAACATTTTTGGGGTTTCACTACGACAGGAAGTGTTCTTCGTTCTACTCCACTTTGGTGTCAAGTAGTTACCACTATATTTTGTCTTAAGAGACAAATTTCTTAAGGTGCTGTTATAAAACACGGGATTTATAAATTTTGCTACTTATGAGGACAAGAGTTGATGTTTATGGTCCCTTCTTTACAGTACGTAAAATTTTGAAAATTTCTGACACTTTCTCATGAAAAAAATGTTCTTAAATATCAATTTAGTATTAGGTGATAAGCTAAATTAATTTCTTTTCACAAATTAAGCTCAACTCAAAAAATACTTTAATATAACATTAATAGAATAACAAGAGCCCTGTAAAGGGTTAAGAGTGCTGTTTTTCGAAGCTTTGTTACCTAGAAAAATAAAATTGACTCACTTTAAGTCTTTAAGTTCTCACTTAAGTCTGGAAACAAATCTTTACTTTTAATATATATAATTTTTTTTTTAATATCAATAATTTGTCAAGATTTTCTCCTAAATAAAAATCTTTAAAATAATCAACTGCCTCAAATTTGTAAGCTGAAACAATGCATTGTTGGAGTTACTTTTCAAATATTAAAAAGTTAAATTTCAAACGCTTATCACTTTCCTGAAAGTATCATACTTTTCCTTATATTGACGTTTTAGGTCATTTTAACAATTAGCATATAAGGCTAACATATATGAAGGCAAATCTTGACCTTTTAGATAATCATTACTAACAATAGTTAAAAATATATATTTATTATTATTCGCTTGAAAGACTTTTCACAAATTGACAGTTAAACTGAAGTAAAGCTTTTTCATTCTGCAACTGCTTCTTCAGACATACTCTGCTTTTTGAGTAAGCTATCAATCAATAATGCTACATTATCATAATACTACATTATCAATATGCTACATTATATCAATATCAATAATACTATATTATTCTAATTGTAATAAAATAAATTATTTTGGATTATATGAATAACGAATAAGGATCCGAAAACCTTAGCTTCGACAGGAAGATCTTTTCGTTTAAATAAAATGCAGGAATAAGAGCAAGTATTAGCCACGCAGATGCAATGGAAACATAAATACTATTTTTGATGATGTCTATAATTATAATTGCTAATGCCGATGACGTTTTTCTAAATTATACTTAAGAAATATTGCATTTAAAAAATTTATTTTTATAAAAACGAGGCACAACGCAAAATGGGAGGAATGTCTTTGTTTCATTTTCTGAGAAAATATTTGCCTCAACTTCTGTTGCAATTCAAAGCTAGAAGAGTAGTTTAACCAGTAACAAGCCTGCTTATTTTTTCGTGTGCGAAGGTGAAAGTAACTTCAAAATCGGTATTTGTTTAGATTTGGAACTTAGTTGTTGTTGTTGACGACGTATGACTGTTTATGCAGAGGGGGTGAAATTGTTCTTGTTTTCCAGCGGCGCCATCTATGGCCAAGAATTCGACTTCTGCCACACCATACATGACACCCGTTTATAGGGCGGACCCATTCATACATCCATTCATTCATCCACAGATCGTAATTTTGACCTGAATCAGAGAACGATCGATCTCCAATCCAGTACCCCCAGAGGTATTGATTTGTTATGGGAACATGGAGGACTTTAGCGACTCGACAGATTTAACTTGCATCAGTCACTTTACTACACGGGGAGTCTTCGGCCGGCGGGGTTCGAACCCACGAACTCTCGGACATGGGCCCAGCGCCCTACCGACCAGGCTTTGGGAACTTAGTTGCGGCAAATAAATACTTTTTGACTATAATTTCGGTTATTAGTTTACTTCACTATGACAGATTTCAATTAGAGTTTCTTTAGATTTGGTGCGAAGCTGTGGCAAATAAATATGTTGTTGTTGTTATTGTTGTTAATTTACGTCGCACTAGAGCTGCACAATGGGCTATTGACGACGGTCTGGGAAACATCCCGGAGGATGATCCGAAGACATGCCATCACAATTTTGATCCTCTGCGGAGGGGATGGCACCCCCGCTTCGGTAGCCCGATGACCTGCGCGCGAAGTCGAGCACTTTACGGTAGCACAGTTTAACGAGGACCAATACCGCACACCCTCGGTCCCTACGCAGACTAATCCAAGTGGTCACCCACCCGCACACTGACCGTAGCCAGTGATGCTTGACTTCGGTGATCTGCTGGGAACCGTGTCTTAACGATCAGTCCACTGCGGGACGGCAAATAAATATGTTTTGGCTATAAGTTCGGTTAACCAATTTATTTCGCTTATGCCCCGAAATGAAAAGATGGTTAGTTGTCCATTATTATTGCATTTCATATTACGTTTCATACCTAATACATGTTATTGGCATATTAAATGTATAATCTTTCGGTAAAAACAATTTTTTTTTTTTTTTTTTTTTTTTTTTTTGTATTTACTTTAGTCTTAATTTCTTCTAAAATGTTTTATTTCGTATTTTGCTTTTTATAAATATTTTGGGGAAGTAGGCTCGTGATATTTCAAGTAAATAAGATAAACCTCTCTTAAAAAGATAAATAGAGGGATATTGGTAACATTCCTAAAAGCTTGCAATATTTATTTTGCAGACAAACTAGTTATTGGATCCACAAATATTTCTTTTCCGAATTTCTTTCTCCAAGAAAAGTACTAAAACCACAGTTTTTACACTTGAGGGAAAGTTGAAATTTTTTAACTATGAGTGTAAACCATTTTGCAAAGAATTAACTAAGATTTAGAACATACAAATTACCTAACACTTTTGAATTTGCTAAGCTTTTTAAAAATTGCCAATTTGGCGAGATCTTACCCTGAGATGAATGGTTTTTAATTTTTGCAAATTTTTTAGAGTCCAGATAATGCAGTGTTGAAGTAATTTTTTAAATATTATATATTAAAAAATTTATTCATAAAAATATTACTCGTAAAAAAGAAGCGTTTTTTCGCATGGCGTCAGAGTCTTCAAAAATCAGTGGGCCCACGAAGTTTTTCCTTTTTCATCAACCATCTCAATTAAAATACCATAAATAGAGAAATAACATTTCTGAGACTGTCTTTATAAGGAACTTGATATTTAGCCAACCAAATTTATAATCAAAAAATGAATACTTACTATATCCGAAGATTAAGCCTATTGGAAATCCGAACATCCCCTTAATGGCTCTGTATTCTGTTCTCTTGCTGAATAGAAGTTTGGAAATGCACGGACTACATCTGAAAAACCATTTTAAAATACCTGCAACAAATACATTGTTTAATTTTAGGATATCACAAGTGAAATATACAAATATATAATATTCTTTCCTTGTTTCACTTTACTTTTTAAAAAAAATAGAGTATAAGCGTAGAAAAGCATTAAGTTATTCAAATATATTTTTCGAATATATTTGAACTAGTTCAACGTTACGTTAAGTCGAATATATTCGGCGTGCCGTTTATTTAGCAGTCGAAGAGAAAACGTCCAAGCTCTTCTCATAGTACATTGGCTACATAAAAATAATATACTAAATATATGACTGTATAAAAATAATATTTTAGACCTTTTAATAAAATTTCATTGCATTTTTATTATTCTTAGCAGAGACATATTGTACTATTCAGACAAAAATAATAATAAAAAAACTGATTATTTCGTTAAAAATTATCAAAATATAAAAATGTAATATTGATAATAGAGCTATTATATAATGATATTATATTTTCAGATTTCTTTGATTATTTCCAGCATCAGGACTGATTTCGATGAAATTAAGAGGAAAAATAAAATATTCTAGTACAAAAAAAATATCCATTCAACAGTTATAATACATACGAATGATAGTGCCTGAAACTTTATTGGAATCGCAAGGTATAAAGCAGTTGTTACATAATCGAACAAAAAAATTAACTCAGAAAGAGTTTAGTCCTCTCCTAGATAATTTGCAGTAGTATACAAGCTGTTTGTTTGTTTATATAGGACATAAGTCAGTTTATTCCTTCAAGGAATAATTGGTTCCATTCGCTTAGCAACGCTATTTTCAAGCCATAGGTAGTTGTTGGAAGGGTTTGCTAGTTAGCATTGCCCTCCCTAATGTTTATTCAGCGAATGTCACCACTTGGAGCCCTGAATTCACCTTTTCATAGGTGAAACTGTCCCTGATTTCACCTTCACGGACGAAAATGCCACATAGAGCAGCGTCTTGACAATAATAATCTTTTTAAAAAAAAGGAGATGTTGACCAAATAGGTTGACCATTCAGATCTGCAGACTTAAAGAGTCAGTAAGTGTCTAATTCATTCTGGTGAGGAAACTTACAGCAAGTAAATCAAATCAAGATCATCTAAACTAAAAGCCGTGTTGCTTTGCGAAATCCATGAGTGGACCCAATTAACACAAGATCACCTAGCTTCTTAGTCTTATTTCTAGCTAGTCTTATTTCCTTCATAAAATGACGTATGCCTGTATACTATTGAAAATAGACAGAATAGACAGACTGAAAGTAGAATTCATCTCTTTTTTCTTCAATTACAGAAAACTGTTATAAATTGTAAAATTACGCGTACATTTAAACACAAATCACAATAATAACTTTCATTAAAAAAGTTTTTATTATTACATCCCGGTTTGACTGTTTAGTTTCTAATTGCATTAAGTTTTATTTAGGGTTAGTTTATCATCTGATAACAAATATTTCAACTAATTTTTTTAATTATTAAAACAGGTTTTGCATCATGTTTAAGTTATTCAAAGTCTTTTTTTCTATTAAACAGTAGTATAGAATAAAACCGAGATTTAGTCAATCGGACCAATACGGGTAGTGTAAAAGGCTATAAGTTAAAAAATGTTAGAATACCAGGAAGATTAGATACAGTACCTCAACTGTAAAAAAAAAAATAGGTACAAGATGCCTGAAACAATGCAGAAAAGCGTGATCAAAGTGATTTTTGTACTTGAATTTGATCAACTAAATTAAATTTTAAACTATTTATGCTCTTTGATTTAAAAATCCCTGTATGTATAAAGGTTATAGTATTAATTGAATGCTATAAATAAATATTTCAATCGGAAAAAAAAAATTTAAGACCATTCTTTCAATATATACTTCGTTTTATCCGACCAGGTCTCAGCATTCTCTCAAAAAATTATTAGTTTTCCTACCAAAATAATTTTTTTTGTACTAAATAATTTCTATTTTTATTAATTAGATAAAAATGTAAGCATATTCATTAACGTAGTTGCTTGAAAAAAAATTAAAGAATCAAATTCGACCAAATGTTCCCTACTATCTAGGAACAAAGATATGTTACTAAAAAAAGATGGAAATATTAAGAAGGAAATAGCTATAAATTTTTAAGTTTGTAATGTATTTAAAATTGTCGGAAAGAGTTGTAGAGTAGATATGATGCTTTGCTTAAGTTCATTATTTAAAATAAAAAAATAAAAAAATGAGATAATTGTTTTTTCAAAAAAAGAAATTCGTAAACAAAGTGCCTAAAAACTTCTTTAGTGATCGGGAGCTCGCTTAATGTGTGATGATAACTAATAGATTATTGAAACCCATACCCAATATTAAGAAACTTATATTTTACATATCTATTAATGATTTATTTTAGAAAGTGTTTTCAATGGGTGATTGTTATGGAACTTACCTTTCTCTCTTCTTCTGTATCCATCGACTCTATGACTTTTAGATTTTAATCTTTCTCTTATAAGCTCTTCGGGAATCTGTATTGAAGAGCTGCTTTCTTCTAACAAGGAATCTATCTCTAAAAATATCACATAAATACATTAAATTCATTCAAAATTCTGCCACGCAATTGCAAAAATCTGCGTAAGTGACCTAAGATTCAAAATTGAAATTTTTATGCATTTTGCATCTTTGTATTGCGAAGAAAAAGTTTTCAAAAATAAATTTTATTTTATTAGTTTTTTGAAATTCTATTTTAGAGTTCATAGCATTGGCAATAAAAGGAAAATAGTTGTCAAGCCACTTCATAATCAGTCGTGAAGCACTTACGTTGTTTTGGTTATTGGTTATTGCAATTACATAAATTTTCAGGCTTGTGTGCTCAAAATAGGCTTATAAACCTTCGTCAAGTAGAAGAGGACAGATAGCACAATAGGAGAGACAGCACCAAGTAGTACCGCCCGAATTCACAAATCTCTACGTTGTTTTTTCAATTACACGGCAGAATTGATTAAAGGTTACAGACATGGTTACAAATCACAGCATTCACAAACTTGAAGGGGAGGGTTCAATTATTTATCTGACTCTAGTTTAAGTAGATGAAACTTTTAAAATAGTTTTATGCTGAAAATAAATTTTATAATACTTGATAAAGAACTTTATGTTTTATGATTATTTTTCTTTCATTTAATAATAAGCTTTTAAGTTTCTATATGTTGCGTATCTATAACAGCATTGAATTTAACAAAATAAAATGCAAAATAGAAATTAGGTTTATATTCTTTTTTGAATAAATCATGAGAGATGTGTTTATTCCTATTACAGAAAGCAGACTTTTTTATTCTTGCCCCTTTTAGCGACGGTGGGAAGAAAACGATATTTTCGAAAAAGGACCGCGGAGGACCATTCACAATGGATGCGAAAAATTTTCGTATGCCGATTCGGAGATGCGGACGAGAACTTTATTGGTGAAATAAATTTATCCACGAAAAAAACGAGCCAATCAAGTTCTCGCTCAAATCTACGAATTTGCATTCGCGATTTTTCATGTATAGTTTTTCATTATGTTCATTCAATATATGGTAGTAGTAGCTCTATTTCATTGTAGTTGCTTTATGCCGAATGGAAAACTAGATAAATTTTCATTGCGAGACTTATCTAAGTTAACTGTTAACCGAGCTTGAAGTCAAAACGTAAATATTTTCCTCATAATGCTCCTTCATCATTGTTCTGAATATGAACAATAACTGGCTCTGAAGCCTGCAAAGAGGTTTTCCTTTTCTCAAGCATACACAAAGCAGAACTTGTTTTGTACTAGAATCGGTTAAACCTTTTTTCCTTGCATCAGAAATCACCTTACTTATGAGGCAAATATAAGCATTCAAGCCCAAACAAGGCTCCGCTCCATTCGCGTTGGGAATTGAAAATTCGTAAAAGTTGTTTCCAATCCATTCACATCTGGATCGGTTCACAATTTCCTAAAATATATATTAATCTAAAATTCGCATTTCTATGCAATAAATTACATTGTAAAAAAATGTTGCTTGATATAGGATGAGTCAATTATATGATGAGTCAAATCTTAAAAATATTTTTTAATGCTGACCTTTCTCACTCTCTTTGGTTTCTGTTGATGAGCTCTCTGAACTCTCTTGCTCACTTGACTCGGAACTTTCTAGCTCACTGTCATGTGGTCTTAGTGGTTGTACTTCACTTGCTTGGCGTTTATTGGGATCGTCATATGTCCGTTTAATCTCTCTCAAATCTTTCCGCTTTTGGGATTTTTGTTTTTTACTATCCTTCTTTGCTTTTCTTTTTTTGAGAAAGGAGAAGAAAGGTATTTTTTTCTTTGGCGCATCAAGTGTTGAAGATTCTTCATCCGAAATGGTATCTTCTTCTTCTTTGGGAACAGTAAGATCAAAACTAGACTGTTTTATCTTAAGAGGCTCTTCAGCTTTGATGTAACCGCGAAACTCTCTTCCAGGAAAACCATCCTCAGCCATTCTTATTTGTATTCAAGTTCAAATACTAACACTTAAGTTCTAAGAAAATTGTACTATGCTCTATGATTAGCTTATAACTCATGTAGAGGAGCTTTACGTTAAGTTTTATCAAGGCTATGCTGGATCACAAGATTTGTGAGCAATTTACAAATAAATCAAATCCGTTAAAATTCAATGTTATTGACTGGCAACAAATTATTTCTGTTGTTATATTTGTGTTGTTGTTGCTTATGCCCACTTGACCAAAAGAAGCATTAAATCAAGTCCATGAACTCATCCAAAAAGCTCCCAAAGCTATGTACTATTGCAGCAGGGTTGGAGACCAGGTGGCTCTTCTGGCAGCCAATACACGATAGGATGTGGGCAGGAGCAGACTGGTTCACATTGCACTTAGGGCAGGGTGGATAGACTTTAAGGCCCGCAACGTGACGTTGGGATCGAGTGTGTCCGCTTCTAAGTCTGGCAAGCGCCGTTTGGACACGCCTATTGCTTGCCCTGATCAGAGCAAGACCAGGCCGGCCTCCCCCATACCAATCATGCACAGGAGATTTTTTCCAACAGGAACCAATATCTTGCCTAGTCCGGGTTGCTATTTCTGAGAAAGAAAGAAGGTCATCGCCAGCAGTATCTCTATGGCTGCCCTCACGGTTGTTATATTTAATATACGATGTTGCTCATATTTTTTCGTTAGATATATAGCTCCATTATTGTAACCAGCTTCGATTAAAAAGACTTCCAAAAACCGTTGTGCTTTATACTGTAAAAGGGTAGCTCAAGATTGTATGGTTTATCGTAGTTTTTTTTTTCTTTCCTAACATTATACATTTTTCTTTTCGTTTTTTTCTACCAAAAGTACGCCTTGGGTAATTAATAAGCTATCCTGCGTCTACCTAAAATTAAAAAACTGGTAGCAAAATTTTAAAAAAAAGTCTGAAACTCTAATAATTTTTTTAAAAAAATAGTTCTGTTTGAGAATCTCTACGAAGGATTCTGTTCTCAAAATACTAAATTGAAAAGGAAAAGCAATAGGTTTTCAAGGATCTGTATCAAAAACAATTTATTTTAGATATTTTTTTCAGTGTTCTTTTTTTTTAAAGTTTCAAATGATCATTATCAATAATATTGATTAAGCTTATTATTAATAATAGTACAAAGAAAAAGCCCGTTAGTATAAAAGTAGGGGGCTTCATCACCACTCTCATTTTATAAATAAACATTTTCCACGCTACGATACAAAAGTAAATGATAATTTCTCCATGTTATGCTACCCACATTGCTATCGTAACTTTCACCATTAGTAGAGGACAACAGAAATTGTTGATCAAAGTCAGCTTCCCGTCTTGATTGTCACATAGAGTTATAATTCCCTCCTAATTCTAACTCAAACGCTATTTGAGTGAACACGATTTAAGATTTACAGCGCATGCTCACAAATTTCCTATATTTTATGTCTCTAAGGGATTAAAAAAAACGAAGTTTGCATTACGGTTGACTTAAGCCTAAAGCAAATTAAGCCTAGCAAATTTTCTTTAATTGGGTACTTACAACTCGGAAATGAGATTACTGCTGAAATCACATGGTTGTGCATGATGTGTTAACTTAACAAGGTATTTTATCACCCTAAATCTGTACTGATCGTACTGATTGCACACAGTGGACTGTTCATAATACACGGGTCGCAGTAGATCATCGAAGTCGAGCATCACCGAAAAGGGTGAACGTTCGGATCAGCGACCACTTTGATGAGACTACGAAAGGACAGAGGGTGTACAATATCAGTCCTGTTTAAACTGTTCTATCCTAAAGTATATATCCGGACTATTAAACTGCTTAAGTCATTTCTTCCGCAGTGGATCAAAATTGTAATGGTATTGTCCTTAGATTTTACTTACTCCGTCGTCAAAAGACCATCGCGCAACGATAAAAAAACTGCTACTACAACTGGTGAATGCTTAAGTTTAGAAAATGAATAAATAAAGAAATTAAAAAATAATAATAAAATTTAATCGCATTATTGCGATCACAAGTATCCCATTGGTCAAATGAGTTACAGTTTCATATTCTCTCATATTGATAAAGATGATTTGCCGTTTTTTTTCCCCGCAAGCACGTGACTATACAGCCCTTGTAAGCCTGAGTTAATGCATCTTTCGTTGATTTGTTTCAATTCTTACCTTTTCAACATACTTTCATCATAGTATTCTGAACTAGAACCCTGAATAAGAGAGGCCGACTCGTCCGCCATTTCGGAGCAAAAACTTTCACCAATGCGGACGAGCTACAAGATTTGGCAACCTATCGCTACAAACGACGCTAACCTCAAATAGGATACTTCTTAAAGAAATGACGTGTTTTGTGTACAGTCCGCAAAAAAAAAAACGAATCACCCTGAATAACTTTCGTTCTAATGATCGGATTTTCACGAACTAAGTGTCAATCTTAATGGTTCCTGGGGGTGACCTCAAATATGTTAACTAATTAGTGCTAACTATTAATTAAATTACGAAATCAGACACAAAAACGTACTTTCTCTGAATAAACATATAATTTTTTTTACATATTTGGAATCTAGNCATTTCCACATTACGAAGTTTCACTTCTTCCACGCGGAGGGACTCCACGCGCTATTTTTTTTTTTTTTCTTTCCTCACATTATACATTTTTTTTTCCGTTTTGTTTCCAAAAGTACGCCTTGGGTAATTAATAAGCTATCCATCGTCTACCTAAAACTAAAAACAAAATTTTTAAAACGAAATCGAAAACTCACCTTTTTACTTCTTTAACAATTTTTTTTCAAAAATAGTTCTTTTTGAGAATCTCTACGAAGGATTCTGTTCTCAAAATATTAAATTGAAAAGAAAAAGCAATGGGTTTTCAAGGATCTGTATAAAAAAAAATTATTTTAGGTATTTTTCTAGGCGTTTTTTTTTTCTTTTAAGTTTTAGTTGCTCATTATTAATAATATTGATTAGGCTTATTATTAATAAAGACAGTTAGTATAAAAGTACCACTTCATCACCATTTTCATTTCATAAATAAACATTTTCCACACTACCATACAAAAGTGAATGACAATTTCTCTATGTTATGCTCCCAGCTTCCACTACCTACATTGCTAGCGTAACTTTCACCATTAGTAGAGGACAATAGAAATCGTTGATCAAAGTCACCTTCCCATCTTGATTGTCACATAGGCTTATAATTCCCTCCCAACTCTAACTCAAACGCTATTTGAGTTAACACGATTTAAGATTTACAGCAGATTTACAATTTCCGAAATTTCGTGCCTCTAAGGGATTTAAAAAAAAAAAAAAAAGTTTGCATTACGGTTAACTTAGCCTAAAGCTAGGCAAATGTTCTTTAATTGGGTACTTGCATCTCGAAAAAGAGATTACTGCTGAAATTATATGGTTATGCATGATGTGTTAACTTAACAAGGTATTTTATCACCCTGAATCTGTACTGATCGTTCTGATTGTACACAGTGGACTGTTCATAATACACGGCTCGCAGTAGATCATCGAAGTCGAGCATCACCGACAAGTGAGCGTTCGGATCAGTGACCACTTTGATCAGATTACGAAGGGACAGAGGGTGTACAATATCAGTCCTACTTAAACTGTTCTACGCTAAAGCATATATCCGGATTGTTAAACCGCTTAAGTCATTTCCTCCTCAGTGGATCAAAATTGTAATGGTATTATCCTTAGATTTCACTTACCCCATGGTCAAAAGACCATCGTGCAACGATAAAAAAAACTGCTACTACAACTGGTGAATGTTTAAATTTAAAAAATGAATAAATAAATAAAATTAAAAAATAATAATAAAATTTCATCGCATTACTGCAATCACAAGTTATCCATTGGTCAAATGAGTTACAGTTTCATATTCCCTCATATTGATAAAGATGTTTCGCCGTTTTTTTTTTTCCGCAAGCACGTGACTATACAGCCCTCGTTAGCCTGAGTTAATGCATCTTTCGTTCATCTGTTTTAATTCTTACCTTTTCAGCATACTTTCATCATAGTATTCTGAACTTGATCCCCCCCCCCCTGATTTAGAGAGGCCGACTCGTCCGCCATTTCGGAGCAAAAACTTTCACCAATGCGGACGAGTTACAAGATTTGGCAACCTATCGCTACAAACGACGCTAACCTCAAATAGAGGAAAAGCCTCTTTTTTTAAAAAAAAGGGCGTGTTTTGAGTACTACATCGATTTACATTGTTCTTCGGAGACTTTTTTTTAATACTTGAACAAATTCATTAAAAATTTTATTATTGTTGTAATTTAAAATAAAAATATTATTCATTACTAGATAGAAACAGTTTATACGCATTTTTTGTTCGTTAAGAATTATAAAATATAAAAGAAACAAGAAAATGGAGAAGAATCAATAAATTTATATTTGCATTAGATTTAAGCTCATCTAAAATTCATCCCGGTTTTTCGATTTCAGTCTTTTTGGAGGATTTGGAATAGCATCAGGTCTTATTTTTTTGTTACCATCTTTCCTATTTACTTTAAGTTGAGATTCTACAAAATGAACCAGCAAGAAAATTTAAAATACTGTTTTATACTTTCATACTTAAATTAAATCACATTAAAAGATTCAGAGTATAAATTATGTAAAGATACTCCTGTGGCGTAACTACCACTACGAATATTAAACATCAATTCACTGGTATATAAGACATGCTAACTTGATTCATATATGAGGTACCTTTTGATAGATGAAGGTTGGCATGATCGATAACTCCGCCCACACACTCTCATTAACTTTTCTACAACATAAACTAATTATTTCAGCAATTCAAAACAAGAATTTTGAAGAAAAAAAAGCAAAATCTATAGATTTAAAAACGTATGAAAGATCGTATATTAAATAGATTACTTATTATAAATGTAAACAAGCCTTTTGAACTTTGAGCAATATGTTACCATAAGTAACTTTAAAAAAAAAGTAAATGAGCCAGGATTAAAAAGTCTATCTGACATA